TGGAAAAAAAAGTAATTTTTAGGTATATCCCAGTGCAGCTGAAGGCATGAAACATGGCACTCTGTTCTTGGCTAGCTTGAGAAGGAAATAAGAGAAGATCATTGGCTGACAGTTTTCTGTGATTAGCTATTAGCCAGAAAGGGTATCTATTGAATTGCTGATGGTTCTCTACATAGTTTGGCTTCAAACTCATAAATATGATTTCATTCATATTATCTCCAAATAACCAAAAGAATATCAGATGCATTTCAAATTAGACTAAGAATGGTTCGGAGGTGGAAAGATTGATCAGCACCCAGAAGTATGGTTTCATTCAATTTCTTGTGAAGCCCAATGGGATACTGAATTCTGTTCTGACATTTTCTCATTCAGCACAAAAGCAATCTGAATAGCTAATGCATGTAAAAGTTCATGTGTCACAATAAACTGATAGAGAGTTTCATCTTTTTTTTTTTTGAAAACCTTAGCCCAGAAACATATCCAAACTTCTTGATTGATTATTGAGGAGCATGTAATTATAGTTAGAACAAAGAAATCTACATGGAATCTACAGTATATTGCTCAAAAGGAAAGCGCAGTCTACAACTCTCATTCTGAGGAATAACTGTTTCCAAATGATCCCATTAGGAATGTATCTCAAGACAGAACTCTGGGAGTTAATAAAAAACAGAGCTTCCAACCTCAGATGTTCCAGGAGGTCCAGAAAACTGCCATAGTCAATGACATCAAAAGTTGCTGACCAGCCAAGAACATTTATGTCATAGGTTTTTTTTTTAAAAAAAATGTCAATTAGATTGACCCAGATGCAAGAAATAATAACACTGACCTTTGAACCAGGTGGTTTCTCTATAGGTCTTAAAAGGGATAAGGAGACTTATTTTGCACAGTCAAAAATATAAACATGATGTACATACACCTGCATCCTAACCTACACATACTTCTATTACTACAGGTAGTCCTCATTTAATGGTGACAATTGAGACTGGCATTCTATTGTTGTGTCATGGTTATTAAGCAAGATGTCAGGTAATTGTGAAGGCCTTACAGGCGTACGTCCTCTGTGGTTGTTAAGTGAATCATTCAGCTCATTAAGTGAGGCATAAGGTGATTGTGTCTTGTGATTTTGCCGCTAGCTTCTCTATTGACCCTACTTGTCAGAAGCTAGCTGTGAAATGTACCAATAGCGATCCTTTAAATACAAGTCCCAAAGGTGCTTTTTCAGGAGGCAACGGGACTTTCTTGTTTTTCTTTGAAGAGTTTCGCTTCTCATTGAAGAAGCTTCTTCAGCTCTGTGAAACTTCTTGATTGAAAAGCAAAATGTCTTCAAAACAAAACAAAGACCTTCACCCCCGAAAGTCCAGTTTCCTCCTGAAAAAGCATCTTTGGGACAATTATGGCATGGATGACTGAGATTCTCCATAGACTGTGACTATGAGATGTTGTGACAGTTATAAACACTTATTGGTTGTAAAGCACATACATTTCCATCCTGTGACTATGGAGATGCTATAACCATTGTAAGTTCAAGGACCAGTCATACAGTTTTTTCCCATTTTGAATGGTTGCTAAATACGGCAGTTATTAAGTGAGGACTACATGTTATTACTATTACTACTATTTTATTACTATTTGAATGTTTCTGCTCTATACTAATACAGTTACTGAGATATTATTTGTACTGTATACATCAATGTTTTCTTCTTACAGAACCTCTTCTTTTTCCCCTTTTCTGGGATTTTTTTCTATTTTCCATTTGTCATTCTCTAAATATAATTCATCAGGATGCATTCTAAAATAAGAGATTCTTATCTCTTTCAAGTAAGGAAGTGTTCCGCGTTCCAGAGTGTAATACTGATGATACAGACTATAACATTTTTATTAACCCCTGGCTAGAAATTACAAGCCAAGAATTAAGAGAATAACTGGTTAATATATCTCTCCCAACAGTATGTCTACATTTAGAGTTATCACACATGGAAATGTATGCATTCTAATCATACAGGAGTCATTATTATATGCCTACAGAACATAATTAATGCTGGAATTTATGCAAGCTTGAATAAGTTTGAGATTATATCAGCAAGAAAACAAACTAAATCAAACCCCAAAACAACAAAGCAAAATTCCAACAAAACCTCAAAACTCTAGAGGTTCTATGATGAAGCATGGGAGGTTGAAAAAGAGCACAACCTGAAAAGCCCAGCAAGCACTGAATTTGACAATGCAGTATATATTGCTTCTCTGTTGCATGATTCACCACAATGTATACTCTCAAGTGGATTTTATCATGTACTTCCTGAGTCATCTACCACCTGCTCTTTAGCTATCTAACTTGCTTTTGCAGCTCCCGAAGTTTGTACCTCAGGAGTCATTTGTGAAACATGACAGAAATTAGAAGTGATTATATGAATAGCCTTAGCAAGTCACCTATTTCAGGGCATCAACAGATTATTAGTGGGATTAACCACCAACCTGCACAAGTTCTCTTGAAGTCCAATTTGATCAATAGATCTTTTGGGAAGACTATTCTAATAGGTCCATGGCTTCTACAGCAATGAGATGTAACCTACATAACCATAGCCAGATAACAGGTCATTTATAAGAGGATTAAGGCATACCCAATCATCAAACAGAATAAAATGCTAAACTTCTGTGATTTGTATTATGTCTTGCTCAAGATAAGCTTAAAGTTATCATTGCTCTGTGATCTCTGGAGCTATGCAAGACAAACTAACTCGAAATGGTTGGTGAAGTGACTCAGTACTATGAAGCTGAAAACATGATAATGAGATCTCAGTATGTGCAGCAATCTGAGTAAAGTACTACTATTATAGTAAAATAGAGGCAAAATAGTTCTGTCAAATTTAGAAAGGAAATAGTTTAGAGCTGGGGGTTAAAGAGGGTTTGGAAACAGAACTACAGAACCAAATAATCAATGGGAATTGCTCAAAGTGGATACCTTAGTAAGCATCTATTATACATCCTGAGAAGGTTCCTGACCCTAAGCAAAACATTCAAGTCACATCATACATCATCCTAAAAGAATCCAGACTATTCCTACACACTGAAAGAAAAAATGCATGCATAATAACAATACATATTTTAAAGCACTATTTTTGTAAAGCACTACACATTTAAAATGCATTCTAATGTGGAAAGGGAACTTCACGCAGACAGTAGTGTCACTCAAACAGGAAAAGCCCAAGGGGAACATCAGGCCAGCCATAAAACAAACTTACATAGGAAAAGGAATCAAATAAAAGGTATTAAAGAATCCCTATAGACAAAAGCCTAAGTAATTAAGAAAACTAGACAAATAAGAAAAGGAAACCCTTACAAACACAGGACATACCAAATAAGCAAAACAAACAGACAAAAGACACAAAAAAATATAAATTACAAAAGAGACAGACAGGAGATTGCCACAAGACAAATATGAAAAAAACCATTATAAAGCTAAAAGAGATTAGGAAAAACCAATAATACAATCTAACCACCCTGCGGAGTTTGCCTTCCACACCCTGTGGAGTTTGTCCTCCGGCAGGAATAAAGACAAACTCAAACAGGTTTTGAAACATTAAGCACAAATACAAACATTCACATGAAATCAACTCACAAAGGGAGAAAAGGGTATAAAAAACCAGGGACTTACCATAAGAATCTAGCTAGCCCAGGAAGGCAGACTTCTCGCTGTCCCTCGCCTTCCTGAAAAATAAAAAGATCCAGCTTTCAAGCAGTTGTCCGTATCCTTGCGTCGGAGCTCTCCCAGTGGGAAAATCGAATCCTCGAAGGAAAGGCATTTTGACACCTTTCAACACTAATGAATAATGAATTAAGATTCCTGTGCTTATAAATTGGTTATTTTATAATACTTCAAACCTAGTATTTCAAAATCTTCTTTCCCTTCTTTCCTTTGGTGATGTGTTAAAGGCAACCAGATTTCTGAAGTTACTGTATGACTTACTGACATTATATATTTAATTTATTTATTATTAAAGTTCAGTGCTGCCCATCTCGCCATGCTGACTCTTGATGAATGTACACACCAGATGACTGGCCACATCTGCATTTAAAAAACACACATACATCATAGGTGGATAAACTGGTCTAACACTTCTTTACCTTAAAATATCCAACGTCATCGGCCTCTCAAAAGCAATTAACTTGCAATAAAAAGACTGAACAGATGGAATGGATCTTTCATTAAAGTTTCATACTACTGTTTCCCATCTGAAAAATGAGACATTTTTGTGGACTTGGTATAGTACAAAATGAGGGGGGGAAACACAGGGCTGAAGACTGTCCCTCAGCAGCATAACCCTCCTCAAACAGCATGGAATAGGACTATAGTTGGTGGAGAGAGGGAAGGAGGGAGGAAGAGTGAGAGCAAAGTGTGAATAGAAGAACAAACACACACAGGACCGACTCCTCATTGTTCGTCGTTCCACCCAAGGAAGTAAAATCCTCAAATGATTAGAGGGATTCCAGAAGCCACGCTTTGCAGGCTTTTCCTACTTTATATTTTTATTTGATTTGTCAATCGCTTACAAGATAATAGATATAAGAATAAACATGGGTACGAATACAGGAAATAGGTACGAATACATGGGGACAATAGGACAGGGACGGTAGGCACGATTGGGCGCTTATGCACGCCCCTTCATTAATTTCTTGTTACAAGAAAGATGGTTCTCGTTTCCTGTTAAAACCACCTTAAACTTTAAGCACATTAAACTTTCAACTCCTCAGGGGCGTTTATGGCATGCAATGGTTAAAAATCCCAAGGGCCCCTATCTTTCATACAATCCAGGCCCGCACGTGACTTCGAGTTTACGTCATCGCCAAGGCGGAGAGGGGAGGGCAAACAGAGCCGCATCGCCCTTGAAAGACTCGGCTCCCTTTTCTTTCCGCGCCGGCATTGCCCGCCTGGTCAGGTGATCGCGTGTCACATGACCGTGCTTGCGATCAGGAGCGAGGCTGCCGCCGGCTTCCGCGGATTCCCTGCGAGAGCTGTGCCTGGGTCGTCCTGAGCGCGGCGCTTCCTTCGACCTGCCAAGGATGCGGCTTTGGGCTTTGCTCTGGCTGCTGGGCTGCAGAGCGGCTGCTTGGCAGAGCGACGATTACTGGCTGGATGATGCCGTCGGGCTCGGGCGGCAGTTCGATGGCATCGGAGCCGTTAGCGGCGGCGGGGTGGGTGAACGGAGACCCTGCGCGGACTGGGAGCGGGGCGCCGTCAGTCTGGGCTCCTTTGGAGTTGGGTGGGTGGGTGGCGTTTGCACGGAATCGCGGAGGCTTTGCACAGCCTGAAGGACATCGGCCCAGAAAGAACCTCCGAATCCGAGGACCTGAAGCTCGGGTCGCTTCCTAGTGGGAGCATCGCTGATAGCCCCGTAGTCCCCCGTGTCCTCTGCTTACCTTGGGGATGAAGTATTACAACCAAGCTCAGATCCCTAAGGCAAAATAGAAAACCTGTTCTGCACTCAGAGGCATTTCCTGTAAAAAAGAAAAGAAAAAAGACCTGAGCTGTTAAGTTTGATCAGATTCTTTTTACAGGAAATGCCTGTAAGGGGATCTGAGAGTGGTTGTTACTTAATTTAGTTCGTGTATTATATGTACATATTAACTCAATTGATTGTTCATGTGTTAGATGCCTATAATACTGTACATAAATAATAATAAATAGCTTACAGGGAAAGTTGCTGTAACTTGCATGGCATTTTTATATTTTATTTTTCCAATGAGGATGCTTGCTTCCTGAACAGGGTTTCTCTACAGAACTTATAATTCCTAACAGACAAATTTTATTGTCTCCAGTTGAGAAGCCATTTCATCAGGTAGGGGATAAAGAGACATAATTGGGCAAATGGGTTGCACAATGTACTTAAAAGTAAGATATATTCTCCAGCTTTGTTCAGTGGGGCACAGGAGAGAGAAATGAGCAAGCAAATGTCTTTTTTTAAAAAGAAGCTGGACTGGAATTTTTGCCAGTTGGATTTCAGTGGATAAAGCTTTGTACGCTGGCTTTCTAAAATAGAAAGATATCTTTCTAAAGATAGAGCAAAGAATGATTCCAGCTAAGAATTTGTAGGCAGGAGAAAGAAGTGATCGCTGTCAAGAATGGACACGCATGGATATATTTCATTGTGAGTAGTAAAGTACAGGAAGATAATAGAAACTGCTAAGACAAAAAGTAAGATTTTATTAGGTAAAATAAAGGCACACTCAAGTTAAAACTTTATTTCTAATTATTTCTTATTTCTTGGACAAATCTTTTTGGTTTTCTTTGACAAGAAATTGGAAGAAATTTGTTATTGCCTTCTTTGGATATTTTTTTTCTGAATTCCCTGTCAAATTTACAGATCTGGGATTTTGTCTTGATCGTATGTTTGATATTTGATGTTTGATCAAGTATGTAGTATTTTGAGATCAGCCATGATTGGCTAGCTGCTGCTAGTTTTTAAATTCAGTATTTGCAGAGGCTAAGAGAAGATTTTATGAAGATAATAGAAATAATGAAAGAATCATGGGAAAATGGGCATAAAATGATTATCTGATACTTCTGATAAGTAGTTTCATTATGTATAAGTATTAATTCCAAACATTTTTCTTCCTAATTTTTTTTAGGCTACCTCACGTCTTTTAGTGAATTACCAAGAGCCGTATCGATCTCAGATTTTAGATTATCTTTTTAAGGTAATTATTGCCTTATTGGGTTGACTTTAAGGTAGAACTTTAATTATTTTCCTTAAATGTATTAACAAAAAAGGCTGTGATGCAAACGAGAGTGGTGGAAATATTAAAAAAAGTTTCATGTGTTCAGGTTCTTTCCTGTGCATTCACTATTTTACCACAGTATTCATTTCTCCTTGATTGATATATGAAATATAATTGCAGTACCTTTCTGCCACTTATTCGCTGTTACTATGGCTTTTGGAATTAGTGCAAAGATGTAAGTTGTAATTATGGCTGAATGTATACACAGACATGCATATATAGTGTATGTGTGTGTGTGAGAGAGAGACAGAGAGAGGGAGAGAAAATGCCATTGAGTTAGTCTTTTAGCCCAGAATTGTAATCACCAGATTGATTCAGAGACACAATAATGAATGAGAAAAATAAACATTTTCTTATAAACCTTATAAAAATATGTTTAAAATACTTCAAGCACATCTCTTATATACATGTATGAAAAGAATTAATATAAATCTAAAAGCATGATTGGAATGAAAGTGTGAGACTATTAGTGGGAGATTCAAAACTCTTGAGATGTATGGGACAGAGCACCTTTTGCTATATCAAGAGGTGATAATGGGAGCAAGTGGACATTGAAGGAATTGAATGTAAAAGGAATTAGAATGAAAATTGAATGACTGAAGAAAGAGAAAATAAAAGTGCCTTATCAAAAAACTAGAGCAGAATAGAATAACAGAGTTGGAAGAGACCTTGGAGGTCTTCTAGTCCAATGGTCGCCAACCAGTGGGCCGGGGACCCCTGTTGTACGTGAGAAAATTTTGGTGGTCCGCAGAGAAATGTCACCCCCAAAGCACTCCCCAGAGCAATTAATCCAGGCTGTGTGGGAATACAAGGCCGCGCCACCCATATGGCCCATGGGAACACAAGGCTTGCGTTGCTTGCGTTGCGAACAACACGAGGTAGTGAGGGGAGTGTGGAAAGGGTGGAGGGGGGGGGAACTTGTCCCTCTCGCCCCACGCGCCTGCCCTGGCCACCAGGCTGCTTCTTTCTGCTTCTTTCTTCTTCTGCTTTTGGCTGCACGCAAGGAAAGCAGCAAAAGTTTTTCTTTCTCTCTCCCAAACTCTGCCAGAAATGAGTCTTTGGGACCCTGCAAGGCATCCTGCTCCAAGAGGCTGCGCTGGTGCGACAAGTCTCACAAAAACTCATTTCTGGCAGCGTTTGGGGAAGAGAAAAGACTTCTGCTGCTTTTGCTGCTTTCCTTGCATGAAGCCAAAAGTCTCTCTCTCTTTTTTTCTCCCTGAGAACGGAGCTGGAGACGGTATCCTGCGATCCCAAATAAAGGACGATCAATCGATAGGAAAACGGGGTGGAGAATTTTCCTGCAGACTTTTTTGGGGATTTTCCCAGGGTCTCTGGTCCGCAGGATTTAAAATTATGAGTTTGGTGGCCCCTGAGGTCCAAAAGATTGGCGACCCCTGCTCTGGTCCAACCTCCTGCTCAGGCAGAAAACCCTATATACCATTTCAGACAAATCTCTTCTTAAAAACTTCCAGTGTTGATTAGTTTCCATCCATTGCTTCTTGTCCTGCCATCAAGTGCTTTGGAGAATAGCTTGATTCCCTCTTCTTTGTGGCAGTCCCTGAAATATCAAAACATTGCTATCATGTCACCCCCTAGTCCTCCATTTCATTAAGCTAGATAATACCCAATTCCAAAGCTATTAGTAGTTAGATTATTCTCTCAATTGAAATCAATGAAGCTAGACATAAAGAGGATGTGGAAGCTGTTTGGAACAAAATGAAAAGAATTACTAATGGAAAATACGAAGATTGGTAAAATTACAGAGAATGCGGATTTTTCTTCCCTTTCTCTTTCTCTTTAATTTCTTTCCCCTACAAATGTCTTCTACACTTTACATATCATTATTTACCTTGGATGAAAATAATATGGTGGGTATACAATCTGGATCAGCAATGAGATATATTTTTGGAAGCATTTTGAAAAAAAGTACTAATGACTAGAGAAAGCAGAGCTGATTTTCTTCCAACAAGTTTTATAAAATATTTTCAGAATTTCTTTAATAATTCTGGTATTGCTTGGCAGTGAGCTCCCAAATGATGTAAAATTGGTTATCTGAAGAATACATCTGGTGTATAGTCAGTAATGTCTATTACACCCACATGAACCTGTAACAATCTCAGAAATTAAGCAAATTTACATTCTTGTATCATTACATTAAATAATGCAAGTACGTAATTCAATATCAGTGTCCTGGTTTGTCCTCGTTGTGTCTATTGGCTGGCTTTTTTTTTTTTTAATCTTATGGCTTTTTTCTTGGAAGTTCTTTTAAGACTAGTGCTTGTTTTTCTCCAATAGTGTTGGATGATATACAGATAGTCCTTGCTTACCGACCACAGTTCAGTGACTGTTTGAAGTTGTAGTGGTGCTGAACAAGTGGTACGACTGGTCTTCGAAGCCAACATATCACCCCTGTGGTTATGTGATTACAATCTGGGCACTTGGCAACTGGCTTACACTTAATGATGGTTACAGTGGCCCTCAGTCAAATGAAAACAGCATTTGCCATCTTTCTTGCTGGCTTGTAAGGTTAATGGGGAAACCGATAGGGAATATTACGAGTTGCTTGAGAAAAATCCCCCCCAGTAAGCAGCAACCATCCCCAGGCCTCAAATTACTCATATGATGCTGTGGGTACCCATGCAATATCACTCCTTCCTTCCAGATTGATTCCAGTTCATGATGATGGGAGAGGAGAGGTCCTGCCCTTGGCAGAGGTCCCACATGATTTAGTACTTTCTCTTCTTAGTCCACCCCGTTGGATTTGGTGGAAAGGGCATGTTGCTATGTTTATTAGGTCCCAGGAGACATACCTTCTCTGCTGTGGTGGTGCCTGTTTTATGGAACATCCTTCCCCTGGAAACTAGTTTACCTCCATCCCCTTTTTCATTCTGAAAGATCCTCAAGACCTAATTATATTATGATGCCTGGAGCTCCCAAAGGGTACTGGAGACTTGTTAAGAGGCTCTTTTGTTGTGATTGCCGTTTTCATTCCTCTCATCGCATATGGTTGTGCACCTTTGTTTTTTATGATATTAATGTGAAATTGTTATATTGTCATTTTACCTCATTGTTGTGTATCGCCCAGAGTCATTTTTGGTGAGATGGGTGACTACATAAATTTGATAAATAAATAAATAAAATAAAATGTATCTTCCCTTACCCAGCAGCAGCTACTTACCTGCCTGCCATGCTGTGGGCTTAATGACCCACAATTCTTACCTAATGACATCAGGGACCACTGTTGCTAAGCGATGTGGTCACATTATGTTGTGCATTACAACCACATTGGTTAGCAATCAGAATTCCAGTCCCAATGACTGTCGTTAAGCAGGGACTACCTGTAGAAAAATCAAACGTAGTCTGTTGAACTTTTTGAAGTAGTCCAGAAAGAATAGAAGCAGATTTGATTCACATTGTACTTAAACCAGGGATAGCAAACCTTTTGGCTTGGCATATCAACATTTTGGAAAATGCCTAACTTGACTTTTGCTGGCATGTCACACACACACACGCGCGCGCGCACACACACACACACACACACAAAAGAGAAACATTTCTCTATCTTCCTCCCATCTAAGTCACTCTTAAACAGAAGCATTCAGCAACAGTGCCAATGCTAGAACTGAAGTAAACACACAGACATTGTCTTCAGTGCTGGTGTCACTGCTGTCAGTCACTCAAAGTGGAGGGTCTGGAAGTGGTGGAAGATATGGCCTTCTTGCACAATTTGAGAACAGTTGATATTGGATGTTAGTAAATGCTGGTGTGTCCACCAAAATATTGTGGCATGTCATCTTTGATATATATGACTTGGTTCACCAACATGGTACTAAGCCATAGTATGTTGACATACCATTTGTGAGGAATTCAGGCAATATCCTAGGAAGGCAGCAAATCATGAATGTCAACTCTTTGCTTCCATGCAATAGTCTTCTGGAGTTTTGCAGTTGAAATATGGACTTGGGTATTGGGATGTGTAAGTCATAGTTAGATCTTAGCATTCCATATGAATTCATTCACCATGATGTGTGAATCCTACTTACTGGTGTGAGAATAAAAAATATAGCTTATTGATCTATTTGATTCAATAAGTCCTATGGATAATAGCAGGCCGCAGAAGAAAGAGATATGTACCAAAGTTTTCAGCTAGGTTTCAAAATGTACCAGAACTATTATTATTCCTGCTGAGCCCTTGTTGACTGTGAAACGTATTTTTGCAAAGTATGCACTTGTATGGATATGTTTAAAACAGGAAGAATGAAACTGTTGGAAATGATGTACACAGGTGTTTACAGAAAGTGAAGTTGTGAAGTGTGTATGTGGTTAGAAGAAAAGTATAACGGATAGGGTTGGAGATCATCTCGGGGTCCTTTGATTTATGGCAGTCCTTGTAGGATCTGCTTTATGTCATTGGACCCCATTGCAATGGCTTATTAATGTAAGTGTATTATTGCTATTATATCTTTTATATCTATTCATTTCTTATGTTCCAAATTATTAGAAACAATAAACCTCTGATCTTAAAGTAAGAATTATTGCTTGTGTTGTTGTGTTGTTAAAGAAGGAAGGAAGGAAGGAAGGAAAGCCAATGTAGAGTGTTATCATTTGTATAAAATGTGGGGAGGGAGGAAATAGTGTAATTATTCTTTTTAGAATCATGAGGAAACAGAGTTCATGTTAATTAGGAGAAAACATTAAAATGAGCGCGATAACAGTGGAGTGTTGTTTACCAAACAGAAACATTAACACTTTTTCTTTCTCATTCTCTTGTTTCAAGCCAAATTTTGGTGCCTCCTTACAGCTCCTCAAAGTAGAGATTGGTGGTGATGCACAATCTACAGGTATTTGAATTTGGGTTTTGCAGGAAAGGTTTGTAGCATTGGTGAATGGGATCCCCTGGGGTAATAGTGCTGATATTTGCTGTTCTGCAAATGAATTGTTTCTTTATAATCTACTCCTGCATTCCTTTCTTGCATATGTTCTAGAAAGCGTGCATGGGAAATCATGTAATATCCCAATATGTGCTTGGTTAATATTGGATAATGCAATGACACGTCCTTAATTCTAAGTGATACTTGCAAATCTATTCCCTTAAGTTTTGCACAATATAACATGCATTTTCTCTACTTCCCTCCATATAAGATTGTATTTGCGTCACTAATTGAACAAAATAGGACCACTTTCTCTTTAAAAATATCAAGTAAATCTGGTGCCAACTGTTAAAATTGTGAGATTCCTCCTTATATAACAAGTTTATTTCAGACATGTAGAAAGTGGAAAAACAAGTTCAGCCTATGCTAAAGCAATCTTATTAAAAAGATTTAGTATCTGCTAATGTAGATAATTGAAGAATTATTTAAGGATCTGGATGGTTGCCAGTCAGTGTGTATAATTGCCCATAGTGACAGTTTACAGAAGAAAACTCTAAATCCAGTCTGAAATTTGGTATCATGCTTACAGCTGTTCCATTTGTAAAATTCCATTTTGAAACTTATGTCTAAATTTTAGGAGTGACTGTTCTTGGCACATAATAGTTTTTTACTGAGCAAAAGCTTTGTAATCTGTTATTACTAGCTAGTCATATAATTATGTTTTTAAAATGAATATTATAAAGGTGAATGTGATGTAGACAATTACCTGTATTAATGTTTTTGCCCTTGACATTATCTTGTGGGCTAAAATTGAGTAATGTTTTCATATTCACTTTCATTGCACAGGTATAGTTTAATATGTTTTTGGGAAATATGCTGGAGTAAAAATAGTTGAAGGTCTTGCATTTAATGAAATACAAAGATAATTTTTATTTTCCTTTCCTAGATGGCACTGAACCCTCCCACATGCATTATGAAAATGATGAAAATTATTTCCGTGGCTATCAATGGTGGCTGATGAAAGAAGCTAAAAAGAGAAATCCTTTCATTAAATTGATTGGTAAGGACTGCAGGCCTTTGAGATATGATGCTTTGGTATCTTGATAGTATACTTTGAAAACAGCTTGGTGATTCATTTTTAATTATAATCTCTTAATGCCAAGTGAAATATCCAGTTTATGTCATGAATAATTTTATTTTGTATTCACCTGGATTTCAGACTAAACCAAATTCCTAGTTTCTGTCTTTGCATCCTGGCTGGCAAAGTGTAGGGTTTGAGGCTTTCATCACATGCTTGCAGCAATCATCTCACGCTTTAGGACTTACCCTCTTCTATTTCCTGTTCCTGGCTGGGAAATAAACCCTGTACATTGCTTTGTCCCTTATCTAGGGAACATAGGGACATCATTTGGAATGGAGAAGTAGCCATGAGCATCGATCTGTACTCTTGGCCATTAAACTGGTTCAAAGTAATGGGGAACTATGGTGGTAGCAACCTACACCACATTCAGAAATAAAAGTGTTCTTTTGAAGTTGAACTTTGCTATTCTTCTGAATGCCATATTATAGTGCAAATATCCATGTTGCAATTCATCCTGAACCCTGTGATTTGTTGGAGAATCTGCTGATTGGATTGCATATCCTACAATGTTTCTTGGCATACATGGAAGACCTGGACTGCATGTGTCTACTGGTTTCTGGACAAAAGTCCAGCTTTGTGTTGCTTTGTATATAATACAGATAGTGCTTGCTTAAGGAGGTTAAACATATTCTTAACATTCAGAATTATGACACTAAATGAATGATACTTATGCCTGGCCTTTGAAGTTATGGCCATTGCAGTGCCCCTTGGTTATGTGGTCAATATTCAGGCACTAGGCATCCCACCTGCATTTATGATTGTGGGATGTGCTCCATCTTTCTTCTGCTCTTTCTTTTGATTGACCTATGCTCCACCACCCTTGCTACCCTGTAATCTCTGCCGCCCTGCACCATTTGCTCCACTACCTTGCTGCCCTTTGCTCCGCCACTCTTGTTGCCCCAGCTGAACTTTGCTGTCTTCTTTCTCTCATTGCTGACGAGGGACTGCTGGAAGCATGACATCATCTTTCTAAGGTCATGTGTAGCCTTCCTGAGATCTTGCGAGGCTTCTAAGACACCTGCAATCTTGGCATGGGTAGTTGAGTGCAGCATGGTAGTGATGGTCGGGTGCAGGGTGGCCTAAAGAGCAGAAATAGAGAAGATAGGTGAATGGGAAAGTTGAAGTGAAGGCAAGCCCAGCAGGGCAGGGAAAGCTTGAGGTCCTACAGTGGTATGGTACTGGCCTAACAACTGGGGCTACTGAACCTGCTAAGCAGTGTAGTCATGTGTTGTTTCCCCTGCATTGCTTAGCAGCAGAAATTCTGGTCCTAAACAGGGTTGTTCAGCAAGGATTACCTGTAAGTAAGGAGATCCTTTCTGGACTTGCTTCAGTTGTGATTCTTCTGTTTGACTACATACTTGAGCCTGCCTCTGATAATCTCCGTGGCCATTGTGACTTAATCCACTGACACAGTAGAGTTAAACTCTGCTCATTACTCATCACTTATCCCTTCAAACTCAAAACAAATAATTGGAGAAGGCAGTAAGCCAGAATATGCTTTCTAGGGAACCAATCCTATTGCATCAGATTGGAATTTGCCTCTGATCAGATCTCTCCCCAGTCATTGTAAACCTTAGAATGAAGGAGTCTATCCTTTTTAAAGAGATATTTGCCGATGGATAATAGTAGAAGGATCTTAATTAAGTAATCCTACAACATTGAAAAGTGTAGTCTGAGCCTGTTTTCTGGGAGTAAGTCCCAAGTGTGCTGTAGTGGATTGAATTTTGAGTACTTTTTATTATTTTATTACCATCCTAGATGAATAACACCATTTACTTCTTCCTCTGCAACAGCACTAGGCTTTTCAGACTAGGCTTCCCTATAAGGGGAAATGGGCAGCATAAAAACTTAATAAAATAAAATAAAAATAGATTTATTAGAGGTCTTACTGCATTCATGAGAATACAGAAAGCAGGACTGTGGCAAATCCTGCCACATTTTCACATGTATGTTCATCACAATGCAGATAGAAAATGGACATAATTAGACTGGTATCAAGAAATTGCAATCCTCCCTTGATCAGTTTGATTCCCTTAGGCTCCCCTGCCTAAAGATCCTGCTACTTTCAAATGATTTTGGGGTGGGGGCAATTCTTTTTAACAGTGCAAAAGGATCCTAATGTTGAATAACTCTAATGTTGACATAGCTGTTAGAGCTTTGTGTGCTTTCAAAAAGATTGAGAAGTGCTTGAGACTTTGCATGAATTGCACACCGCTTTTGTTCCTTGTTCTTTGAAAGTAGCCGAGTCTCTTTTTCAGACTTCTGGGAAAGTTTAACTAAAGATAGTTGCTTATTGTTGCTTTAGGATTAACTTTGATCCATAAAGCACCATCTCTTCTTCAAGATTGTGGAGGAGCCTGGGAAAAACGCTTTTGTTAGTAACAGTACTCCTTTAATTACTGTTATATATCCCAAAGTATTTTTCTTTCATTTAAATTTGCATTTTGAAAATAGTGGTATTAAAAATCAAAATGGCCTGTTTTTTCAGGTAAATATGATCAATGCAGCTAATTGTATGTGAGAACAAACTAGTCCTTGTTTAAGAACCATTTGCTCAGCAAAGTTCAGTTATGAAGACACTGAACAAATGGTACTTAACCCCCAGTCCTTGAAGTTATGGCAGTTGTGCCACACTGAAGTTGTGTGATTAAAATTTGGGTGCTCAGCAGCCCACCCACTCTTACAATTACATAGAATACTTCAACTCCCCACGCCCGCCTATCTTCCCCCAGCTCTGCCCTTTTGGCTGTCCTGCACTCTGCTGCCCTGCACTCCACTGCCCCTGTTGTCCTGCTACTGTGCCCTCCATTGCCATGCTGCCCCTACCATCTTTCCTATATATTGCCTTGTTCCTCCACAGCACCTTCTATCCCAGCTGCCCCTCGCCATTTTCTTCCTCCTGCTGCTTATGAGTTGTGTCTGGTGGAGGGGCTTTGGAGTGCAAATGGCCAAAAGGCCAGAGGAGGAGAATTAGGTGGGGAGGGAGTTGGCAGTTCACCAGCTCCCAACTGACAGTTCACCAACTGGCAGTTCACCCTCCTCAATGTGGTGCCCATTTTGGTCGCATGGTGGTGCAATGAATGTAACTCTGAGAACCATTCGCTCAGCACTGCTGTAAGTTTGAACACCTACTGAACAAATGTCCACTAAAAAAGCACCCCTTGTATAACGCATACAAACAAAAGTTTTTGTTTGGAAAACACCATAATATATAAAAATAGGAAGGAGTCCTGAAAGAAAGAAAGAAAAAAGAAATAATATATGCCAGTCTTAAATATACTCAGCTTGGAATCCAGGAAGTTAAATCTGTCCACGCACAGCAAGTAATTATCTAACAAAGAAAAATATTTTTAATAACTACATAGTTGAACTACATCCGGCATCAACTGAATTAACTTTTATTATTGCTATTGGGCTTTCTGTTCATATCCTTCTCCCTATCCCCTTGCATTTCCTTCTGATTTACTCAGAAGATTTATTCTATCTCTCAAGCAGATCTGTGAAAACTTATTAGCAGTACCTGTTCTGCTGGTAAATGAATGCCATTCTATGCAATCTACTGATTTTTTTCTTAAATCAACTATTTTCATCACCAGTCTTTTGCTTCTGAATTCTATGTGTCTGATCCCACTCTTCAGCTATGTTGTCTACCTCTGACCCCTCTCATTCTTTCTGTTTCTAGTTCATCTTATTTCCCTGACTTCTAATCAACTCATTGGCCAAGGGGCATATGAGAGGAATGAGGAACCACAAAGTAGGTGGGGCCTCATTATACATGTCATATTTGTTTGTTTGCTTATAGAATTTATAAGGCTTCCCAATTCAAAAATTACTCTACGGTTAACAATATTGAAGAAAAAAAAAGACAAAAGGCAACAATTAACAGAAGGTGATAGTGATACAGAAGAATCAAACTGCTCCCATGTAAACAAGACCTCTCTAAATGACCCTGCCATTCAAATTATACCATGACCTGGGAGAAACCATGGTTTTCAGGGCTTTTATAAATAAAATAAAGGTAGGAGTAATGTTTGAAACAATAACATGCCTTTTTATGAAGCAGTTTTCATAAGCACAATATGGCAGTTTGTAATCAGTGCTCTAAGGTTTTGGAAAAACACACTCCTAATTATCAGCTTGTTCTTAATTCTGTTAATTGTTCCATCCAGCTCTTGCTAGCAGTTGCTTTTACCGCTCATTCTTCCATTTCAGTGAATTATCCTGTTAATAATGAAAACGATAACACTAGCATTGTAGAAAAAAGAAGTATAACGTGCAGAATCTAGTGATTATTGTAGGGGTCCTAGAACATATGAACACATTAAATTCTTTCCACAATAACTCTGACCATTTAGTACTTTTCACCCCACATTATCAACATTAAAAAAACAACATTTTAGCTCTGTGAAATTGATGTGCTAAGCATAATTTTCCTTTGTGTTTGTTTGTGTTTTTTTATGCTTCCCCTTGCAGGCTTGCCCTGGGCTTTTCCAGGATGGATTGGGAGGGGTATGGATTGGCCTTATGACTACCCGGATGTCACCGCATATTATATAATCTCCTGGATTATAGGTGCTAAAAAATATCATGATTTGGATATTGACTATATTGGGGTTAGTAGAGTCACATTCTGTTTTTTGTTAAAAATTAAATACAACTTGTACCATATGGCTTATAATGTAGGTATGTTTACCAAGTATTTTTTTAATCCCCTCCTTTCTGCATTAAGCAATTTATTTGTGGGCGATTTGGTCAAAGGGCATGATTGGGATGGTAAAATAAAAGTTAATATAAAAGGCAATTGAACTAGTAAAGTGAATTTGGACTTACACTAACATGCATTTCATCCATAAGTAAAAAATAGTTTAGCTTACTTTGGACTGATTGCAGAAAAAATCTGCATGCCAGTTAGTCATGTTCTTTCTCGAATGCTTAGAATTACATAGATTATATGCAATTGATTGGTTCAAAGTAGCTTTTTAAAAAATTTCATAAATGCTTATTTGTTTGTTTATTATTACATTTATATTCTGCCCATCTCACTATCTGAAATAACTCCAGGATTTTTAATTAGTCTACATACAGACTGGATTTAAAACATACATTTTTTTCCAAGTGGAGTTGGTCAGATAATCCATGTCTTTCTGTTAAAATGATGGTACAATATTTGCCCATCCTAATAAGTTAGTTAAGATTGGTCCATTCAAATCCCCTCCCTTAAATATTGTCACATGATGGGACCTTGGAGTGTATTTCACCCCAGCCCTCTAGAGTAGCTTTCCATCTGGATTCAAGAGATTGCTACCGTTTCAGCCTTCAATCAATCAGAATAGAACTGGAAAGGGACCATGGAGGTTTTCTAGTCCAAACCTCTGCTCAATCAGGAGACCCAAGCCATTTCAGGACAGTTGACCAGTCTTTTCTTAAAAACTTCCAGTGATGAAGCACCTGACAACTTCTGAAGGCAAGGTGTTCCATGGATTTATTGTTCCCAAAGACCATGAAGACTTGGCTCTTCCTCTAAGCTTGGGCTATGGTGGGGCTGAGCTGGGAGAAAGTTTGTTCTGGTACCTGAGGAGAAGGGTATTCTTTGAGGGGTCCTTGATGCTCTCTGAGCTTGCTTGTTTTCTTGCACACGTTTCATTACCCAAACTATCACTGATGATATTACCTAGTTTAGGTAATGAAATGTCTGCAAGAAAACAAGTAAGCCCAGAGAGCACCAAGAACCCTTATGTCAACCCTCAGCTACAAATATTTTCCTTTATTCTTTGTTTTTAAATTAGATCTCATGGATTGTTGTGAGCAGCCTAGAGTAATTGCATGACATAGATGGCGATATTAATCCGGTAAATAAATAAATACATACATACATACACACATACCGTGTTTCTCCAACAATACGGCCTCCACCAATAGGAAGACCCAGCATGTTTTATCGGCATAAAATCAAATTAAGCCCCTCCCCCCAAATTAAGGCCTATATTAAACATGCGAAATGGGGGGGAATGGCGGGGGGGGGGCTTGCCGTTAGGAAGTACTTTTATTGCATACCTGGATATGGTGCTGCCTGCGTTGACTTTGGCGCTGGTGGGGCACTTCGTATCAGGAGACCTTCCTCCACCGTTGCTTTCCCTTCTCCCTTGCTGCTGCAGCGTTTAGAGCAACGCCACGGCGTTTGGCGCAGCCACGCGCAGCCAGCCAGGGCTTCTCCCTGCAACCGGAGCCCGGCGGAGACACTCGGCTTCAGGCGCTCCTGTCGCTGCCTTCCCTTCGCCTTCAAAGGCAAAGCCAATTCTTTTAAAAACGACATCCTACTACCGGTACGACAAAGCCTCCCCTGCCCGAGAGAGCAGCCCAACCCCATGTGGGGAGGTGAATCTCCCGGGGCTGCAGTGCAGGATTGGCCCACCCTGGGAGAAGCACGCAGCCGCCATCCCTGCCTGGCGCCGGGCAGAGTGCGAAGAGCTTCGCCTGGGGCGCCCAGCGCAGCTGACAAGCGGGCCCTCTTGCCCAGCGGCAGAGCTCTCACCAAGGCAGCGAGCGCCTCCCCACTGGACCCTCTGCTCATCTCATCAGGGCCGCACCAGAGCCGTGCGGGCTGGGCAGAGCCGGGAAAGCAAGCCGCGGGTGCGCGCCTGCCTGCCAAGTGAAAGAGCCGGGCCGACCCAAGCTTGGCTTCCTTCCCAAGTCCCTCCAGCCTGAACCCAAAGGGGCCACCGTGAGAGGCCGCCCGAGGCAGTGATAGTGCCTACCCATCGGTGGATAGGGAGGCAAGGTGACGGCCTGCACCATGTCCGTCGAGCTGAGCCCCACTGAGTCAACGCCTCTGTCTGAAGCCCATTCTGCTGCAGCGTTTGGAGCTGCCGGTGCATTTGGAGATGCACGGGGACGGGCTGGGCGAGGGATGGAAAGGACGGGTGGCTTCGGGCTCTCTCTGCCGGCCAGGGAAGCAGCGCTGACATCACCTCGCCTCCCTGTCTGCGGACGGGTGGGCGCTATCACTGCCTCGGGCAGCCTCTCCCGGTGGCCCCTTCGGGTTCGCGCTGGAGGGACTTGGGAAGGAAGCCAAGCTCAGGTCAGTCCGGCTCTTTTGCTTGGCAGGCGGGCGCGCACCAGCGGCTCGCTTTCTTGGCTCTGCCCAGCCCGCACGGCTCTGGCACGGCCCTGGCGGGATGAGCGGAGGGTCCGGCGGGGAGGCGCTCGCTGCCTTAGTGAGAGCTCTGCTGCCGGGAAGGAGAGCCCGCCTGTCAGCTGCGCTGGGTGCCCCAGACAAAGCTCTTCACACTCTGCCTGGCGCCACACAGGGATGGCGGCTGGGCGCTTCTCCCGAAGTGGGCTGATCCTGTGCTGCGGCCCCGGGAGATTCGCCTCTCCATGTGGGGTTGGGCTGCCCTCTCAGGCAGGGGAGTCTTTGTTGTAGTAGGGCATCGTTTTTAAAATAATTGGCTTTACCTTCGAAGGCAAAGGGAAGGTGGCAACAGGAGCGCCTGAAGCCAAGTGTCTCCGCCGGGCTCTGGTTGCAGGGAGGAGCCCTGGCTGGCCGCACGTGGCTGCGCCAAACGCCGTGGCGTTGCTCTAAACGGGGCAGCAAGGGAGAAGGGAAAGCAACAGTGGCGGAAGGTCTCCCGATACGAAGTGCCCCACCAACGCCGAGGTCAACATCCAAGCTGTCGCTGCCCGCCCACCCGAGGATGCAAGGGAGGGAATTAAGTCACCCCCGAAAAGACGGCCTTGCCCGGCCTTATTTTGTGAGAAACATGGTACATACATGCATGCATGCATGCATACATACATACATACATACATACATACATACATACATACATACATTATATAGATATATAGCATAAGCTTTAAACTAATTCAGATTTGTTCATGGTATGCTAAACTTGGATTTTGTGTAATATCTGAAAATGAGTCTTTGAATTAGAGAAAGGTGCCTCTGGATATTTAATAGCCTGGGAAGCTGTCCACTAATTATTTGTCCATCATAAATGATTAAAAAATTGCAAGGTTATAGTCACTGACAGGAGTTTTCTTTGGAGCTAGACAATGTGTTAATGGCTCTAGTGTAGAATTTAATTTGACATTTTTGTAGACAATGTGTCCCTGATTTTGAGACATTACCAAGGTCAGAGATGATGCAGCATGAGTGTCTATGGCAACAGTCAGTTTTGATTTTTATTTTAAGCTTGAGTTCTTGGTTTGAGAAGAAAATTGCATCCCAGAGAAGAATATATATAAAATTCAAAAATCAGTGTTTAAAAAAACATCCAATAATAATGAAGCAATATCAATTATTTTCTAAGAAATAAGTGACTTGGCATGCTTTAGAGGAGTTATCGTAATTATATTTTGGAAAATAGTAAAAAGGCATGTTAAACAAAGTTACAGAGGATCTTCACTCACAGGATATTACCGATAAAAAGATCTTGTCTCTCACTGCAGCAGCACTTCTAGTGCTAAACTTAAAGAGTACATATTTTTTAATGTGTTGTGAATGACCTAGGGAAGTATTGTCTGACCTTAAGAAGTAGGGATTTTAACTCTAAGCATTCCCAAACAAGATGCTGTCTGAGGAGTTCTGGGAGTTAAAACTCCACTTCTCTTAAAGTTGTCAGGGTTGAGAAACACTGACTTAGTCATGCAGTCTTTAAAGAAACACTGTGGCTGAGATATTAAATTGTCCCCTTTATGCTTCATTCAATAAGTGATAGAGTTCCAACTCAAGTTATTGTGCTTTGGGGTTGGGAACTGGACTTACTGGAATTTTCTTGTAATTCTTGTTCTAGTCTTGATGGCAGTTAGATTTTATTACTAGTTTTTAAGCAACATTCTAACACTCCCCCCCCCCTTTTTTTTTTCATTTAAGATTTGGAATGAGCGATCTTTTAACAGCAAATATATCAAGGTATGTCAACTACTGTCCTTTACTTACTTAGCCAAGTAGGAGTCTCATTCTTGCTTTAACAGGGAACACAATTATGCAGCAGAGCAAGAATGCAGGGTTACTTTACTTCAGGTAAACAACACTATTTGCATGCCTTGATGTATACTAAAATATGCTTGCATTTGTTGCCCATCTGCTTTACAGTTGCATGCTCTCCTATTTACTAATAACATTTGAGTCATTTTGTGTTACCCATATAATACTGACTGGACATTGAAAGTAAAATGTAATGCTGTTCCTTTTGTGTGACATTTGAGCTGAAATATTCTCAATTTGAGGGCCTTTACTAGTGTCTGTTCATTATCCTACTGGCTCAAAAGGTAGTATTCTGATCCCGAGTTGTTTAGGATCTTGACTATCATAGCTAGAAACATGATCAGGGCTTGGTAGCTAACTAGCAGCCAGTTCAGGAACTCAGCCATCTTAGTTGCTCCACTATACAGCTGCAGTTTGTTGACCAAGTATAAGAACAGTTTTATACTGAATACCTTGGAATGATCTATGGCGGAGGCTATAATTGTAGCTAGGTTGTCCCTCTCCAGAAAAAGCATCTAAGTGGTCTATTATCCAAGTTGACATTAAGCACTCTAAGCCAGTGATCCCCAACCTTTTTGACGCCGCGGCCCGGTACCGGCATCAGCTGGGCGCCGCGGCCCGGTACCGGCATCAACTGGGCGCCGCCATCTTTTTTTGATGAAAAAGATGGCGGCGCCCAGCAACCAGCGGCCCGGTAAGACTTGTTCCGCGGACCGGTACCGGTCCGCGGACCGGCGGTTGGGGACCCCTGCTCTAAGCCATGGATAGAGCTTGGGCCTTTAGTGACTGATGAATCTAGGAACTTTTATCTAAAATCTAGATACAGTATCTGTCAAGCATCCAGACAGTATCCATGATATCAATCACTCTGAGACGTTATCTCTCCAATTAATTTATCAGGAACAGATCTGGCACGTTGGAAAGCAATTTCCCAAGTGAAAGCTTTTTCGCCTGTTACAGAGACTCCACCTTCTCTCCTCCCTTCTCTCCTCCCACTTCTACACTTCATAAATCACGAGAAGCAATTAACTGCAACTGCAAATTCTTAATACGACACACAGAATAACCTTGAGCTTTCCAACTCCTCTAATTCTCCCCCCCCCAAAAAAAAATTACATGGCAGCTGAATTTTAAAGCTGACAGTATCTAGAATCTAAAAAAGAAGACATAATACTTATTTCTTTATAATACCCAAGTGATGCTTAGCTTGAAGGATGTTACAAAACTTAATCTAAAAAAAGAATTGGGTTTTAAAAGAAGTATTTCCTGCTTTGATCAGATACAATTTCTGTTTTATAACGCTTGTACATTTAAATATGTTAGTTCCTATTATGGAGTTCATTATTTTGAAAATATGCAATTTAGCATACATATCTAACTTGCTAGGGTTCATCAAGTTTTAGCTAATTTAGATAAGGTTTACTGCTGATTTAAAATGTAAGGACTATTTGATACCAAGTGACTAGACCTGAAGGCTGACACTTGCCTAATTCCTAAGGGGAGATCTCTGTGAGTTGAAATGTGTGGGAAAAATTTGCTGATTAATTTTTTAGTAATTTAAATTGCAGCTGGCCCAGAATGTGGCAGCAGGTGTGTACAATGGCATTTCATAGGTCACCTGTGTTGAACAAGCTATGCTGGTTGCCATTTGTTTTATGAATGCAATTTAAGGTACTCGTTGTGGTGTAAATGTTTCTTTCAGGAGCTCATATTTTTTCAAACCTCACGTTTAAAACATTTCTTGTACGACCCACCATAGGCACATCTACAATTGATAATTAATTCTTCTTTCTCTGTAAAGGGCATTTTACTTTAAAACAATTTTTCACTGGAGTCAAGGCAGACTCCATTGGCCAAAGCCGTTCAGGAATGGGTGGTGTGGATTTGCAACTTTAGTTATTTTTCTATATACAGCTTGTTCTCACTTACCATCCACTTTTCAGCTGCAGTTTGAAGTTGTAGTGGTGATGATGTGTGGTACTTATGACAAGTCCCCGAAGTTCTGGCTGGCACACAATCCCCTTGGTAATAGGATCACAATCCAGGTGCTTGTCAGTTGACTCACACACTTACGATAATTGCAGTGTCCTGTGATCATGTGATCACAGTTGTAACCTTCACTATAAGTTTTCCATTCCCTGGACAGAGTTGATACACAGTCTGGGTGGGTCCTCCTGCACTTATGCTTTTACTTGTGAAGCAGTTGGCAGCCATGGCTATGGGGGACCCTGGACATTTGTGCCACAGATAAAACAGCTTCCCCCCAAATTATCTCAATTTCATTTTTTAACAAAAAGGTTTGCTTGTCATAGGAAAATAAACAACATATATCTACAGGCCACTTCAGTAATTCATGTATTTGTTTATATCCCAACTTTATTATTTTTACAAATAACAAATTTATCCTTTTAGTGTTTTACATGACAGGATATTTACAATTTTGCACCTGGACCAAAACAAAGATATTTTGATAGTTTATGGATACTGTTGTAACCCCACCAAGTAGATCAGATCAAGCTTCAACTGTATAGGAAGGTGGCCTACTTTTATTGAGAAAAAACCTATAATAACAAAATCTTGTACGTGTGATTGTGCTGTGCCTCCTTTCTTGTGAATTTCTATATGAATTATGGAGGTGTGCGTCTGAGTTGCTTATACATAGAGCTAGTCCTTGCTTCCTGATCTCATTCAATGATATTCAAATTTGCAAGGATACAGAAAAATTAAACACATTGCAGCATCCCTGCAGTCCTGTGAATGCAGTTCAGCTGTTTGGCAACCAGGATGCATTTACATGGTTACAATGTTGCTAAGTCACACAATCGCCATTTGCGACCTTCACAGCCAGCTTCCAACAAGCAAAGTCAATGGGGAAGCCACAAGGAAGTCACAAGTCATGGTCAGATGACATCATATTTAACAACCTGCGGTGATTCACATAATGACTACAACCAGAACTGACATTGTAATTTGGTGCAGTGTCATGACATTTTGGTTAACAACTGCTCTACTTAGCAACAGAGTTGCCAGCAGCTGATTTGCCCATTGTAGTGGGGAAGTGAGGACTACCTGTATTTCTGCCTGTTTAAATTTAAGCCATGTGTTTCTTCTTGTTGCTTTAGTAACAGATCTAGTGTATCTCTCTCAAGGTCATCTTCCTGGCTTTGTACATCTGGGGATGTAGCCAAGGGAACAGACTTAATTCCCTGTCTGAGCCCTCCTCCCAACTGGGATAGTGGCTCTCCAACAGCTACTTGTTGAGGTAGATTAACCAATTGTTCTAATCTATACAGTCTATAAAAACCACTAATTGGGAATTTTATTAGTTAGTAAGTAAAATAAGGTTTAATATTTCTGGGGAACATCTGTGTAGAACACTGATAATGATAATGATTTAGTTTATCTTTTAATTTAAAACAAGATACTTACAAGAATTCTCAAATTCTTGCATTCAAGATGTGCTTCCTAATAGCCGGGTAATCTATTAAATTCAAATTAAATGGTCAGTGCTCAATTTCTGGAGTAAGAATGGGCTCTAGTTAGATGACATTGGTGTTGATACCATGTGAATACCATTTGAGGTAGTTCATGTAATGTATACTTTTTCTCTCCTGTTGATTACTTATAAAATAGATTTGGGGGAGTAGATCAGTAAAGTTTCAGTCTCCTGTGCCACCTAAATTCTTCAGATGTGTCTTTGAATCACTGCCTCTTTGTTTAGTTGTGATTTAGGTTTTACCGTATATACTCGAGTATAAGCCGAGTTTTTCAGCACATTTTTTGTGCTGAAAAAACCCCCCTCGGCTTATACTTGAGTGACAGATTCCCCTCTGAAAAAAAAATGGTGTGGAGCTCCAGAGCTGGGCAGCTGCTTCCGTGTTTCCTTTGCAACTTGTAAGCATGGGGGTAATCGGAAGCAGAAAAGTTCTTGCATGGTTTCCAAGGCGTCCCCTCTCCCCCTAATTCCTAACGCCCCCCCACCTCCGACTCAATAAGCAGCGCTCAGGGTTGCCAGATCGCAGCTTGGCTCTGCGGCCAAACTTAAGTCAAAATACGGCCAAATTTGGCCAAATTATTTTCTCTCACGGCCAATTTTTTTTATGCAATATAACATGAGGATATATTGTTTTTTCTTTTTTAAACTGTTTTTAGGGTGGAAAAAAAGACCCACCGTCATGTGAGAATGCTCAGACACGAAATCTATCCGCCCGAAAATAAGTGTGTGTGTGTGTGGATTTTAACAGAGGGAAGACGTAGGGAGAAGGCAAAAGCGACGGAAGATCCTTCAGGGGAAAGTGAGGGGGAGACTCACCCTTGGTCCAGATGAGCCTCCTTCCCCGCCCCTAAGGAAGCAGAGGCAGCCAGCAAGGGCAGGCAAGCCCCACTTCGCGGACTCCGTCCGTCCTCGCTCCCACCCACCCACCCACCCAAAGCCACGAAGTCCCCCAATCGCGCAGCCCAGAATCGCCCTCCCCTCAGGGGGCAGCAACGATGCCCGGCATTTCCCGAGACAAGAAGCTCCGCCGTGCAATGAATGCGCCCTGGCTCTAGGCTCGCGGGCTCAGAAAACAACGCGAGCCGAGGTGGCTTCAGCTCTGCTTGGCTTCGTTTCCTCAGCCCCAGCTGCTTTCAGTCCGCTCGGGAGGAGGAGGAGGAGGTGGTGGTGGCGGCAAGGTCCAACCTCTGGGGTAGCCCAGAGACACCTTCCACGTTTTAACCCTTGCTTGCCCAAAAGCAAGGACAGCCCAGTAACTCCGCTCGTAACCTGGAGGCCAGAGGAGGGAAGTAGAACGGCACGCCTTATTTTCCACGTTGACTTTAAGCGCTGCCGACCGAGTGTTTCACAAATACCAGTGGGACCTCTGTCCACCACCACCCCTCCCTCTTTTGCCTCCTTCCTTCTGATCAATCAGGTTTTCCCAGTATTTGCTCACAGCTGCGTTTTCTCTTCTGCCGTGCTAGGCATTGAACGCAGGGATTTCTGATTCCCCTTACACACGCATGGATATGCCGCGGGGCGTTTTCTTCCAAATGCCCCACGGGCAGAGAACACTTTCATGATAGATCGTTTCCCAAATTAATTGATTCACTAACCCAAAAGAAGAAGATGATGATGACAGCGGGAGGCAGGAGTCACTCTCTCCCTTGCAAGCCCCCCAGCGCCCGGGGCTGGCGAAAAAAGCAAGAGCCGTTCTTATGATCTCTCTCTCTCTCTCTCCGGAATAGTCAAGCCCTTTCCAGCACGCGCGATCCGCCGCCGCCGCTTTGCACCTTGCAAATGCAAAATCCCGGAGCCCTCCGTGGTTTTTGCATTTGCAAGGTGCAAAGCGGCGGCGGCGGATCGCGCGTGCTGGAAAGGGCTTGACTGTATTCCGGAGAGAGAGAGAGATCATAAGAACGGCTCTTGCTTTTTTCTTGCAAGGGAGAGAGTGACTCCTGCCTCCCACTGTCATCATCATCTTCTTTTGGGTTAGTGAATCAATTAAACCTTTCATGATAGTGAGATCGTTTCCCAAATTAATTGCATTTCCTACCCTAGGCTTATACTCGAGTCAATAAGTTTTCCCAGTTTTTTGTGGTAAAATTAGGCGCCTCGGCTTATATTCGGGTCGACTTATACTCGAGTATATACGGTAAGTAGCCAACCTCCTACAAGTAACGTTTCTTACTGATTGATTATCATCAAAAAGTGCACTGTTCCTAGTGAGGACAATTAAATCTAGGCAAGCCAACAGCATACATTATTTTAGCTTTTTAACAATTTGTTTCAGAACTTGATTATCTTGTTTTTATTCGTTCTTTAAGGTAATGTCATGCTCCTTAGTTGATGAAATATACTTAGTTGATGAAATATAATGTCATGCTCCTTAGTTAATGAAATATTACTTCAGGTAATATTATAATATAATATAATAATATCTGTTACCAAGGTACTTCGCAAAACTTTGGACAGAGTGGGTTTAAAGACCCTTGGCATCATTGCTGCGGATGGAAATTGGGACATTGCCAATCAAATGCTAGTCGATCCTTATCTATATGATGCGGTTGAGATAGTAGGGTAAGTGTGGAAAAACAGAGGAACAGTGATTCCTCTATTATATGTAGAGTTTTGTATTGATTAGAATTTGGACACAAGTTTGATTAACCTGCTTTTCTTATGCATGGGCTGTAGTATTTGTTTTCAGTCCTGCACCTGACATTAGTTTTAATTCCAGCTGACTATTTGTTGTAGCTTAATAGGATACCAACATCCTTCTGCTATCTTCTGTAACTATGTGACTTTTGTTTTATATAGTATATTCCACAGATGCTTCTTAAATAGTAACTTCCTCTCCTATGGGTATCCTAAGAACCTAAGGCTTCATATATATACAGAATTCTCAGTACCTTCACTATGTGCTGACCTTTAGGGGAAATTTTGAAAATTTGTGGCATAAAGTCTAAAAGTTGTGATATACTTGTGTGTGTGTGTGTGTGTGTGTGTGTGTGTGTGTGTGTGTGTGTAATTTTCATATATATGATTGTGTGGAATGTTAAAACACTGTTGATTATCTTATTAAGGAACCAATAGAAGAGAATAGGAACTCTGAAGAAGTTTCTTGTAATTGCTTGGCCTTTTTCAGCGATGGCGGTGCTACTGTAGCTTAAGAATATGCTTCTTGGGAAAATGCTGTATTTTTTGTTTATTCTATTTGTGGTGGTATTTTTAATATATTCTTTTTGCTTTTTGATCTGTGTCATAGTTGCTTTGAATGCCAGAGATGCAGGATTGTGTTGTACATTATGCATTTAAATGTCGCCTTTCCAAAGTGAATATGCTGCCTAACCTGTATCATCTAATTTTATTCCCTGTGTTATCAGTGCTTTGATTTTATGGCTCTCTAATAAGTTGTCTAGATATGCTGCATTAATTAACTCATTGACTAACCTAAACCATTAGAGAGTAGCTGTATGCACCCAAAGGGCCATTGCTCAGTGGATAAATTTTAAGATATTTAAAATGGAACAGTGTTTGATTTCAATTAAAAATGATTTTTCTGAAAAAGGGTGGCACTTCATTAAATAATAACAAAATTTATACCTGAAAATTTGAAAATTTATAAATGAAAGTTTACACTTATGCATTTATTCTAAGGCTGAGGATTGCTGTGGATCATAAGCTTTGTAGTTTGAGCTTCTGCTCTTTCTTAATAATAGAAATAGAAACTTAGAAACTTTGGATATGGGAATGCTTCTAAAACTGATATCACCTCTGTCATGATCAAACTTCCAAGTGTCATTGCAATCATTACCATTTACAACTGTTAGAATTATTCTGGCTGACAGTTATGTCCCCCCCCCTCCCCCAATTCATGGGGCAGGTATCACCACTTATACACAGCAGGGTGCCTGTCTTTCTTCTGATGTTCAAAAATGCAGGGTTCTCTGATGCAGGGCTGGGATCCTACCTGCATAACAACCAGTTCGTTGAGCGCACGTGAGCAGTACTTGTAAATCAACTTCTCCTGCAAGCAATAATCTTCTTCTGCTGACGCGCAGCACAGGGAATAAAGGACAGCCTAGAGCCTGGGTGGGTGGGCCCAACCGAAGCAAAGAAGATCTTTGGAGCGAAACGGTTCGGTGTCAGCTGCTCTTCAGAGCTACTGGTTCTATAGAACTGGGCTGAACCAGTAGAATCCCACCCCTGCTCTGATGACACTGCATTTGAGGAAATTTTAAATTGGCAGTCTAGATAGCAGCTTGGCTGTCATCAAACCACCATTTGCTACTAATTATGTATATTTGGGAATAAATGGGTGAATCTTAGTTGTAGCATCACTTTAGAACTTCAAAATCTCCACCCTCCTCCCTGTGCATCATTTGCATCTGTTCTCTAGTCCAAAGGTGCTTTTTCAGGAGGCAACTGGACTTTCTTGTTTTTCTTTGAAGATGTTTCGCTTCTCATCTACAAAGCTTCTTCAGAATAAAGTCCAGTTGCCTCCTGAAAAAGCACCTTTGGAACAACCATGACCTGGATGACTGAGAATATCTGTTCTCTGGGTTGGAAGAAACATCTGGCATAAATTTGGGGCAGGAAGATCCCAAAAGTGGGGAGGAAGGGAGGAGAACATTCTGTGATATGAGCAGACATTGGATTTTGCCCTGATTTGTTTATTCTTCAACGTGTTCTTATTCTGGCATCTGAGATGACAGGTATTTGCCTACAAAAGACTTTTTAAATCATGCTATAGGATCGTGTTGGCGAACCTATGGCCCGCGTGCCACAGGTGGGCCATTTGTGCCGGCACCCGAGCCACAGGCAAACTTGCGTCACTGCACATGCGCGCGCCTCACAGTTGTTTTTTGGCTGGTTTGAGGCCTTTTTCGGTCTCCCAGAGGCTTGAAAAAAGGCTCTGCAGATCGAATAGTCCCATTTCATCACTTCCTGTAATACCAGAAGTGATGAAACAGGCCTATTATCTGGCCTGCAAAACCTGCAGAGGCTTTTTTTCAAGCCTCTGGGAGGCTGAAAAAGGCCTCAAACCAGCCGAAAATCAGCTGTGAGGTACAGTGCGGGTAAGGGGACAGGGAGGGGATTGGGGGAGCTGGGGGGATTGCGCACACATGCACAGGGGGCGTGCACGCATTGCCTTTTGGGTGCTGGCACACAAGTTCATGCGTGCAAGCATGCACACAGTTTTTGGCACAGGAGCCCAAAAAGGTTAGCCACCACTGCTATAGAAGATGCTGCAGGAAATTCCCCTTTGTTTGGGGAATGAGGCTTGCCTCTTTGTTTCCCCAGCCTGTCCATGGAACTTGCTTATTTATTTATTTTATTTTATTTATATGCCACCCATCTCACTATCCAAAGCGACATTATGAACTTTGTCCATTTAAAACTTTTAGAAATGAAGCAATCTGTTGAAGAGAGTGGCATCTTTCTCTATTTTCCCCTTTGGCAGACAAATGGTTGCAGGTATTGTAACTTCAAGAGCTGTGGTGGTGCAGCAGTTAGAATGCAGTATTGCAGGCTAATTTTGCTGATTGCCGACTGCCCACAGTTTGGCAGTTCGAGTCTCTCCAACTCATGGTTGACTCAGCTTTCCATCCTTCCGAGACCAGTAAAATGAGGACCCAGATTGTTGCGGGCAGTATGCTGATTCTGTAAACCAATTAGAGAGAGCCCTAAAGCACTGTGAAGCAGTATATAAATCTAAGTTCCATTGCTATTGTTATTCACAGTTATGTACCTGCCATAGAGAGAGAAATGTCTATTTTATAGCTAGATTCAGCCAAAAAAAAAAAAAAATCGGCACATTTTGGCTTTTTAAATATTTATTTCTCAAAGTGATGGGAAAAAAGTTGCTTGGCAGAGAGATAGGTGGCATACAAATTTAATAAATAAATTTAAAAAAAGAATAAAATGCTACTTTTCTTGTCTCTTTATTTTAAAAGATTTTAAGGTACACTTTGGATAAGCAAGACCTTCATCGAGTGCAGATCATAGCCAGCGATTACCTCTGGGAACCAATATCCTTTTTCATGCTCACTGACTCTGAGCTCCATGAAGCAATCAGTGTTATTGGGTAGGGCATCTTTACAAAACTGATTCTTTCCTGATAACCCCTTGTGGTCACATCTGATAGGAATCACCTTTTGGGGGGGAAAATCTTTCTTGGAATATTAAGTAGTTGCAATCTTTAGACCGGTGAACTTTCAAAGTGTCAAATGACATATGCAAATATGACCACATACCTGATCATCTTTTTTTTTAAATTTATGTTTGATTTCTTGTCCTTTTGTCCATGGGGTACTCAGTGTAGTTGTCAGAAACTGGCAATTCTGCATAGGAAAGTTCAAGGGAATGCTTTCACTTTCTTTTTCCATCTTCTGTTTCACTGCAATACCCAGGCTGCTTATTCCCTTGAGATTCTTACGCAGGTAGTGTGGAGTTACTATGGCAATTGGGACTGGGATTGCCATCACTAAATGATGTGGTCGTAACATGCAACATTATGTGATCCCATTGCTTTGCAACAGCAATCCAGGTAGTCCCATTTACTCTTGTTGCCCGTAGGTTATTAAGAATAGCAGGACTCTAAAATAAGGACTGTGAAGATGTTGTGACCAGCTGTAAGTGTGAGCTGGTTGCCAAATTCCTGAATTTTGTTCACATAACCACAGGGATGCTGCAACAGCTGGAACTTAGAGGACCTTCATACAGCACCATTATAATTTCCAAATCACTGAATGAATGGAGACTAAGTAAGGTTTACCTGAATTCATGAGGTTTAACGTATGCATAATATTGGAATAAGGAATTGGAAAAGAGAACTGGAAACATCTTTTTGCCTACTATTTCCCGTCAAAATTAGTTTAATTACTGGAAAAATTAAAAGAGTTTTCCCAGTTCAGATTATTTATTTTAGATAGAAACGGACTTCTTTGCCATATAGAGGAGATGGGAAACCTTGGATCTCCCAAATATTCAAACTATATCTTCTCTAATCAACAATTGTGAGCAGTGTTGCCTAGATCTTATAGGAGATGTAGTTTCAATTATATAGTTTCAACTCAGATGGTATGCTGAGGTAGTCCAAAACTGGACTTTTTTTCCTTGAAGACATTTCACTTCTTATCCAATAAACTTCTTCAGTTCTGATTGAATAGTGGGGAATGGAAGGATTTATCATATGACTGCAAAGAATATGAATCCTTCCAATCCCCACCATTCAGTCAGAACTGAAGTAGCTACTTGGATGAGAAGCTAAACACCTTCAAGAAAAAAATGAAGTCCAGTTGACTTTGGAAAAGCACCTTTGGGGCACCCATGACCTGCATGACTGAGAATCTCTGTAGACATATGCTGAGGTAGCACCTCAATGGCTCTCTAGTGAGTAAAAGTTGCTCCACCTGTCTTTTGTACATGGTCATTATACTAGTACGCATTCAGCCCTGGTTTCCTGCTGACTGTTTACATATCTACATAGAAATCAACCAAGTGCCCCTTCTAGCTATTAGATAAAAATAGGGATGATTTAATTCCCTTTAGAAAAAGAAAGAAAGGAATAACTATTTTGCTGACATTAAAAGTGAAAGATTAAAACTCATCAGATGCTCTGGAAAGGAGATCTTGGAGAGAACGTAATGGAGATGTGTAATGACTGGCATCTAAGATGATGAAAGACAGCTCTAGCTGTTAAAAATTAGCTTTTGGTTTTAGGAAAATACATGGATGTCTGATCAACCTAAAATGGGCTAGACACTGTCACTGCAAAACCTTTTTTGTTCTGGTTTGTTGGTTTGAGGAGTGTTTACATCCTTTTGTAGCAAAGGAGGGGAAATCCAGCAAGACCTGCCAAAGTTGAGGAGGAGGAGGGAATGCCTTTCACATATGATCACTAAGAAGACTGAAGATGATGAAAGAATCACAGTTTTCCATATAATCATCAACAATTGAAGCCCTGAGGAAATACCATTATTAGAAAAGATGCCATGCCTTCCAGTATATACTTTTCTAGAATGTTATTTAATCAAATGCATTTACATTGGAGTTAAAACGTATACTTTTTCCCTCTGTCTAGGGCTCACTACCCAGGGACAGAAACAGTGAAAAATGCTCAATTAACTCGAAAGAAACTCTGGTCTTCTGAAGACTACAGTACTTTCAACAATGAAGTGGGTGCTAGTTGCTGGGCTCGAATCCTGAATCAAAATTATGTAAATGGGAACATGACTGCGTATGTATCGATATATCTGATGATATAAAAGGATATTTCATGACAATAATATGTATCTATAATATTGTGAAAACCTTGCTTAATTCTTTTGGCAGTGACAGTTGGGTCAATATTTTTAACAAATTAAATCATTATGCGCATGAAACTTGGACCAATTATTTCCCACCCACCCCACCCCCCCAAAAGCTGAATTGTTCATAACAAGAACATTTATTCTGCAGAAATTCCCCCTGTAAGAGAGTTTCTTAATATGGTAAATACTTATGTTGTACTTGATCGATCAATATATAGCAGCTCTTGGGATGAATTAAATAGTGGATGTTTGCTTGGCCACTTTATTGTATAAAACTCTGTGAAGCCCCCTCCTTTCAATTTTTGCCCTATTGCCATCAAATGAAAAGTTTCGGAAGAGAGTAAAAGGTAGGCAGATAAATACCACTCTAAGCTTAGTCTGTGCCAATATTTTCACTTTTGGCAACCATCTCTCCATTTATTCATATACTTATTTATTGAGATTTTATTAATGATTGCTGGTATCTTCTGTAAAATCACTTTGAAGATTTTGGTTTACGAATAGTGGAATATAATTTTCCTTCCTTTTGCTTATTCCTTGTTCTTAGCACTCTTGCTTGGAATTTGGTGGCTAGTTACTATGAAGAATTACCCTTTGGAAGGTGTAGTTTAATGACAGCACAAGAACCATGGAGTGGGCATTACTCTGTGAATTCTCCTATATGGATCACAGGTACATTTTAAAAGTTAGACATAAGCTTTTCCAGTTATCCAATGCAAGTTGAGCTGTTGAGTATTGAATATTGAATATTTATTGTTTTGAATCATAATACTTTAGCAGAAAACAAATCTTTCTAAATGAATAATACATAGCTTCTTACTAGAGATTATAAGAGAATGTGCATGGAGTAAAATAGTTTTGTTTCAACACATGTGCAAGATTTTGCATTAATGGGGGGTAGCTTCATCAGACTACTATTGATTTGAAATGATTTCAGACATTTTGTCTTATCGAAATTGAGGTCGTAGCTTCACTCTGTTTCCCATGTACAGATTTCTGACTTAGTCAGGTTTTGAATTCAAACTATTAGATGTACTAATTCAATGCTTACATTTTGATAAGCTCATAACTTTGTGAAAAAAGTGTGAGTTGTATGAGAACATAATGCTGTTCTTACTGTATTGCTTCATCATTCAAAATACTTTTTCATTCAGAAGGTTGACAATCAGGACTGGAGCCTAGCCTGGAGCCCTCCAGTTTACATTATCTGTGATCTGTTTGGGATGTACAGTATATAGGCAATAGAATCCAGAATAGCTACAGAGCACAGGCTGTGAACTATTAGTCTAAAGCACAGTAGTTTTATTGAGTCGCAGACTGGTATTGCATTCATAATCCTGCATATTATGAAGGAGCTCTTCTGAATTAACCATCTGCTATAAGAAGTTATTCCTGGACCTTTGTTTGAGTTGTAATTACAACTCAATTAATCATCTCAGAGTGAGATGATTGCTTACCTGTAGGACAATTGAGCTATCTCCTTTCTTCATGTGATTTTGTATTGATCTTATTATTTTTTCTTCTCATTGAAGCAGGTTTCAGTGCTCTTTTTTGTTTTAACACAGCACATACAACACAGTTCACCCAACCAGGCTGGTATTACCTGAAAGTAGATGGACATCTGGAAAAAGGTGGAAGCTTTGTGGCTCTGACAGATGGGCTAGGCAATCTGACCATCATCATTGAAACAATGGTAATGTTATTCGGCAAAGTCTAATGTAGAATTGATTTCACACACTATACAGTTTATAAAAGCACAACAGCACAAATGCTATGGAAGTATAGTATCTTTGAGTTGCTCTTGGCTCCTGTTAAGTTCATGAATCCATGGCGTCCATGGAGTTTTCATGGCAACAATATAAAAATGAATTGCTGTTGCCTTTCTTCAGTATAGTCTATAACCCTAGTAGTCTCTGATACTCTCCCATCCAAGTAATAACTCTGTTTAGTTTTTGAGCCCCCACAAAATCAGTCAAATGCTGCCACCTGCTGATATATTTTGAAAATAAATGCTTCTTTATCAGGAGCATTGTACTAGTGTTTTTTTTCAGTTGGTTTAATATAGTTCCTAAGACTGAGAAGTGAATGAGAAGTGCCTTCTTTGAGTCTCAGTTCTAATAGGGTTTCGAGAAGCGGTCTTAGACAAGCCAATTTGTTTCCTGGGGATATGTTATATTGATTTATTTTACAGGGTTGTAGTATAAATTATTGCTTTAGTCTGTATAAAGGATTTTTTTCAACATTTTGACATGTAATTCTAAAGTCATTATTCATTTATATTAAACATTTATATTTGTTTATATTGAACCACATCTTTGTAACTGGAGTTTTTTCAGAGACTGAGTAGATAATAAGGAGCTTATGATTAATTAATAAAACTTGTTTAAAAAAAAAGGAGCTTATGATTGTTGTTCATTATATTTTTTTAACAATTTTCAAGTTGCGATCTTAAGGTCTTGCATTATGCTCTAAGGATTCAGCAATGCAAACCTGGCCTGTTTTTATTGATTATGTTTTGTGTGGGGGTGGTTTTTTTCTGGATAACTTTTTTCCCCTGCTGTGTGTTATTGCTGTATTTTCCACTCCCTGATTCAGATAGAATAACCTAGTTCCCAGGATCTCCCCACTCCCAGTCACTACCACAGTTGATGGGGATATCCTAAACATAAGTTGCAAGCAGAATTATTATTGCAGAATATTGCATTATGGCTTACACCCTCTTCAGAACACTGTCCTTTTGAGAGAGACAAAGAGACAGAGGGGAAACCTCCTTGCCCCTGATTCCTGTGGTCAGTATTTCATGGTCACCAAACATAGCTCAGTTCTCATTGAGCTATTCTTGAGATTTCTGTCTCCATCCTTTTCTTTTTCCCCTACCTTTAAAATATATATTACTTTAAAAAAGTAAAATATACATACATACATACTGTACAAATACATACATACATACATACATACATGCACACACACAAATACACACACACAATAGTGTGTGTGTGTATATATATATATGCATGTATATATTACGTTTTTAAAGTAACTTTTTTAAAAGGTAAAGATTTTGTGTGTGTGTGTGTGTGTATCCTTTTGTACCTTTGTGACCCTCAGGATTCTCCAGAACTTGCTAATTATGCTTTTATGTGGGTCACAGTCTTTATCTAAATAAACAACTTCATGTACAGTCTGGATGATAGAAATAAAAGGAATGACATTTTGAGGTGATGTTTGATCTATGCAATTTATTCTTTATTTTTAGAATCACAGCCACTCAGAGTGCATCAGGCCACCACTTCCTTCCTATGTTGTGTCACCCCAAAAGGCAGTTTTCCACTTGAAAGGATCCTTTGTGAGTAATTGAACTACATGTACCTCGATCACTCTGTCAGATGCCTTAGAGAATAGATGATCAAAACAAGATCAGACAATAGCTTGTTTTGTTTATCTATAGCAATTATAATGATTGGCATTTTTGAAGTGGCTATGTAGTTGAATGTTACATATAACTAATTGAGGGACAAATTCCATTCCTATGCACCGAGTCTTATTGGCTGTTGTCAGAAGTTGTCCATGAACAAATAAACATGATGCAGTTCAGATTCATGGTGCTGCAATGTTTTGCCTGCCTGTGGTCTGATTATCCTAATTTCTGCTATGTAATTCAGATTTCCAAGAAAGACTTAAGTTGAATAGGGAATTCTGGATATTTGTTCCTTCCATTAAAAATTAACTATTCACTTATTAATGGGTTTTAAAATATTTAAGTGGAATCATTAGCAGCAGAATTGAAGAGAAATGAACTAGATTTTAATTTAATTTGAAGTAAATGATAATAGTTTTTGTTCTGATTTCAAATAGTATTATTAAGTCTATTTATTAGTCATGCATTGAAATGGAAACAATACTGAATAAATATTGTGGGCTCAGCTTGAGTGTTATTTATCTTGACAATTATAGTAATTATAATTATAGTATAAGTTTCTCTTTTCTTATTTTAAAATAGGTAGCAATACATTTTTTGGGAGGTCCTGGACTCATAATACTCTTAATCAATTGTTAGATAATAATACTTTTAAAATTTCTGAGATTCTGAAAAAGGGTTTTTAAATGGCAATAAATACCATTAAAATATTTGTTATTTATGCTTACTCCTTTGCTCTAGCATTCCAAGTTTTTTTAAATAAAAAAATTGTTTGGGTATATTAATAAGCTGTATTAGTAATGAATTTGAAGGAATGTTGGTAATTATGCAATTCCTTATTGGTCAAATATTATAGCCATGGTGAATCAAATCTTTTTAAAGGCAATTAATTTAACAATAAATTGATATCCTTAATCCTTATCTTTCAGAAATGTGTAAATGTGTATAAATGTTCAATCTTGGAAGAACTTTGGATTTATTGTTCTTGAATTATGTCAAAAAAGTTGGTCATCTACACATGGAAGAATAGTTCAATTTCAAACTGAATGTTGGTTCTGGGAACTTTTGTCAATTTTGAGTCAGCATTGTATCAAGAGAGAGACAAGACTAGAGAATGCAATTCGATATGGAGTAGATTCAATTCATCATAAAAAATGAATTACAACATTGAAAAATTAAAGTTATATAATTTCAATAGTCTGATATTTATCAATCTATATAAAAATGTGTTTAGATTATTGTTCTTTTGACTTGCTAGTTTAGTGTTTTATTTTGTTTTAATTTTCTGCTGCTGTGCCACTGCCTCATATCTAAGCCACTACAGTAGAACTGTGGTGGCTAGACCAAAGGCCAATTCAATCATATCCAGTGGCTCACAGTGGCTAAAAAGATACCAGTGGGGAGCCCACAAAGAAGATATGAGCATGTTCCATTTAGTAACTAGTAATTAGAGTCACAATAGTCTTGATGCCAAACTGAATCATCCTGAGTAGTAGATATTATTAGTCTTCTCCATGCATTGACTAATATAAAAACCATCTATGTTAGTCGCTATAAAGTATCTCAAGAAAATGAAATATAATTTTTTTCTCCTCCAGAACAAGTTGAAATCTCTTCAGATGTGGTATTCCAAGCTTGATTTTTCTACTGCCAACTCTACATTATTTCAGTCATTTGGGGCTAAAAATGTGAGTATACCATAAGTTAAAGGGTTAATATGATACAGGTGATGGATATTGCCTTTAAGAGTCTATCTGAGCAACTAAAGGTGTGCAAAGGAAGAGCATTTGCCCCCATGCCATCTTCTACAAAGCTGCCTCTGTAACAAAAGAGTAACCCTGTTTAAGTAGGAAAAGTATTATGAAGTTCCCATGTCTGAAATGCATGCATCTTGTCATAGCAGGCAATATATTTCTGCTTTTAATGAGGCAACTAAAATTTAGAAAGAAATATGAGAATTCTAAATTCCTCTCTCCCACCCAGAGCTGTAGCATTGTTTCAATCGTATAGCATGTTATTGTGCTATAGCCATAGCTCCATCTACAGATGAAGAAAAATAGCAGTTTGGATCGAATGGGAGATTTCAGGGGTGGGATTCTATCGGTTCTATCCACCTCTGTAGAACCGGTTGTTCTGTTTTGGCCCACCCGCCTGCCTGGGCTCTTACCTGCCCTTTATTTCCTGTTTTGTCAACCTCAACTGCTTTGTGCGGCATAGTTGCGGTTAAAAAAGTAGGAAAAAAGGGCTTTTCCAACCACTGCGTACTTGCACGCAGCACTGCTCAGCTGTCTGGGCAGCTCAGCAGATTGTAAATTGCACTCGCGCAACTTGCGCATGTGCGCGAGACGCAGAACAAGAGAACCGGTAGTTATACCGGTTGGATCCCATCCCTGGGAGATTTGTAGCTTCCATTGATACCCCTGTGTTGCATGTGACTTCATATTTTTTTTTGCTCCTGTTTCATGACATATGTTTGATGCCTTATGTTAAAACTATAAGCCTTATTTATTTTAAATTGATTACAGGTGCCCAACTCCAATAGACTCCAGGTGGTGTATACAAGCAAAATTTTAGCCTACCTATAATACCTAACACTCCCCTAATAAATTGCTAATTTGGGAATGTAGTAAAGCACTTGGAATGATAGTTTGCAGCTAAAACTCATTTCTTTAGAGCTCTCCGTATATATCTTCTTCCTCTTAGTTTGCCCACAACAACAATCCTGTGAGGTACATTGGGCAGATAGAGGGACTGGCCCAAAGGCACTTAGCTGGCTTTCATGTATAAGGTGGGACTAGAACTCACTGTCTCCTTGTTTCTAGCTTGGTACCTTAAGTGCTAGACAAAATTGTCTCTCATTCTTGCCAGTGGGCCAAGAATGAGCCCTTTCCAATACCTTGAAAGATCTCCCTGTATGTACTGCTACTATTGATTGCTTGTTCTCCTTCTTGCTATGCAGATCTCTGAAGGAATACTGACGCTAAGCTTGGACTTGGATGAGATCTATACCTTGACAACTCTAACAACTGGCCATAAAAGTTCTTCCTCAGAACCTCCTCCTTCTCAACCTTTTCCGTCCACTTACAAAGATGATTTCAATATCCGTAAGTCAACATAAAGCTATTTTGACGGAATTCCTTATTTGATGATCCTAGGCTATTAGTCATTTTTGCCAAGGATAGGGCTTCATCAACAGTATTAATTCTCTAGGATTCCCAGTAGTAGAGGAACAGAAACCTATAATGGTAAACATAGAATTCAATACATTGGGAGAATCTATTGACAATCTTAAATCTAATCCCTTGTTTGGACAGGGATCCAAATTAAACTGTCCATGATAGATAACTATTTAGCTATGTTTGGTGATTATTGCTGCAAATTGGACAGTCCATGCACTTGTTCACTGAACTTCTTTCTGCAGCCTTTTAGTTTTGAAAGCATTTAGTTGGTGTAAATCGCAAAAAAACGTGAACGCTGAGATCTGAGCCCACTAGAGTTCCCAATCACATACAGATTTCAGTTGACTGTTCTTAGTGGCCTTTTTTTCCCATTTAGCTTGATAACATTGAAGAGATGACAAGGCAGTAAAATGAGTTTTTCAGTACATATGACAATAAACAGTTACAATGTGGAGTCTTTGGAACTAAGAAATGGCTACATTTGTATAATATGAACACCTGTGACTGTGAGGGATTGAAATAATAAAAAATATGTTCTTCAAATAGGCAACCCACCTTTCAGTGAAGCACCATATTTTGCTGATCAAACAGGAGTGTTTGAATATTTTATTAATGCTACTGATCCAGGGGAGCATGTCTTCACCCTCCGACAAGTGGTGACTCAGAGACCTATTACCTGGGTTATGGATGCAATGAACACAATCAGCATTATAGGCAGCTATAAGTGGTATGTAGTGTATATTTAGTCCGAAGTTTATTAGGAAACGTGGGCATAGCAGTGAACTTACAGTTTCAGATAATCTTTTGTTGATAGTCTGCTTTATTGTGGTTATTCTTTATTTTAGCTTTATTTCATTCATTTTACATAGCTCCTCATTTCACTTATGTGGCTAGGCTAGGGCATCTCATCTCATGAGTTAAAACAGCAAAGACAAACTCAACAGAAATGAAGTAAAATAATGAAAACAAATAACCTTTTTTTAACCAATCAAAGCCTTGTCTTATAGCAACGTCTTCAGGGACTTCCTAAAGGCCAATGAGGTTGTAACCAATCTATTCTGTCACATCAGAAAAAGGTCTCCTGGGTCCCATCAGATGGAACTCCTTTGTAGATAAGACCCAGAACATGCCATTTCTGCTTAATCTGAGGTGTTTTCAGGTTTATGTTAACCTATGCTACAAAATGTTTAAGACTGCCACCTAGTGGTAACGAGTGTAATGAGAAGCTGATGAGTAAAGCCATTGCCAAAACATATTTCCTATGACAAAAATTATCCCAGCTAGCTATGGTATTCTAAAAAGTAGGCTTGTTACAAGGATATGACTTACACTTCAAAGCATGAATTATTTGGTCTCTTGAATTCTGGAAACAAAATTGCTGTAAATAAACTTACATTTTAAGACACTGTGGGGCCCTTCAATTTTAAAAATGAATCTACAGAATGCTTTACAAATAAATTATAAAGAACATTCTGATATAACATTCTTCCCTATTGCAGAATTCTTTTCCTTGATCTCATCTTTGATATTGTTTCTTCCTTAGCTATATTAAATTAGAAAAGAATGTACCTAGGAATAAAATGGAGGCCCATATAGCTAGTAGTATAGTAGCCAGAGAAATGGAACATTGTGTAAAATTGTTAATTATCCTTTTAGATTCAGTTTTCCTAAAAAGATTGATAGTTGCATCTCTGTTGCTCTTAGAGGTATTCCCAGAGGTGTTTTTAGGTGCAGTATTTCTTTGTCGGAAACAAACTTTTAAAATCTTATAAAATATTAGGAAGTTTTGAAGGTGAATTTTGTCTGGCTTCCACAAAATTTGTTAATCTTATTTACAATGTGTCTTACTTCATCTTTGCTAAAAATAATCTAAGATGAAGCAGTTCCCATTTGGGAAGTCTTATATGGAATAACCTTTAGTCCTAAATAAAGCATTATTATATTTAGAATATTATTTTAGATATTAAGGGGAGAAGCAGGAAGAAAATAGCATTGCCCTGACTTATTATAATTACAGTATATGAACTGGATCACCCTTATGTTGTTACAAATTCTGATTTCAAAATAAGCAAGAGAAAAGACTATTCAAACATTAAGACAATTAGTATCCATTCCCCCAAAACCCAGTCCCAATGTTTAACCATCTTCCATTTATTCTTGCAGGGTAAATTTCATAATAACCTGTGATATTTATATAGAATCAAATAAAGGAGGAGCATTCATTGCAGGAAGAATTAGCAAAGCTGGCATATATGTTGCATCTGCCAAAGGGATTTTTTTCTGGGTTTTTCCTGATGGTACATATCAAGTCACAGGAGATCTCGGTGGGTTCTTACTTTTTAACTTTTGCAGTATGATGGGGGAGAGTGTTAGATAGGTGGATTACCCTCTATTCTCAGAGGCTTGATAACTGTCCTGAAAATCTTTCATGTTAACTATTTCAGAATCTTACCCAACTGTCTTCAGATGTTAGGAAGCAATCAAAAGGGTAGAAGTTGTACATATTGCTGTGTAAAAGCAAAAGGTTGTGGTTGTAATATTGTTACCTTCTACTATTCTAAAGAGAATCAGAAGTTGGTACCTTCTTCTTCTTTTTTCTCCCATTACACTATATCCCTTCTTTTTCCCTCCCTTATTCTTACTTTTCCATGTTTTTTTATTCTTTGTATTTTATACCTGGATAAACTAGTAAAAGTTAAATCATAAAAAAGGATAGAAGTTGGAGCATTTTTTAAATATTCAAAACTGAAAATGCAATCAAAATGTGAACTGTATCACATACAGTACACCACCAAATAAATTACAATATTGAAAACTATCTTTTATCCTTAGCTTATTTTAAAATGTATCGCTGAATTTGAATATAATATACTAATTATATTGTATTCTTGTATGCTTTTAATTTAATTTAATTTAATTTAATTTTGTTCAGATTTAGAGTTTGTGTGGCACATAATTTCAATTCACTTTCTGTATAGAGAAAGCATTTAAAAATGTTACTGTTTTATAGCTGGTAATGAAATCTTGATGAAAGGGTTATCTGGTGTGCAAGCAAACAGATGGCATACACTCACTCTGATTCTCAAGGTAAGCATTGAAGTGCTATCCAAATACTGGTAAGCTGATTAACTCCTAAAGAGGAATAAAGGCCTGCTATCTCATTAAGCCACAGGTATTAAAATTCAACTATCTGACAAGCTGCAATTCAGTAGTATCATGCTGAGAGAGTTCCTTTGTTCAAGAATACCCTCTTAGAGATTAGTACAAGAATATCCCAGCAGGTTAAAACCTGTCTATCCACATATTTTCTGAGATTTGCCCTTCCTGAGTTCAGATTTTAATCTACAAGTCATTCCTTGGAATGCAGTTGTAGTTATGTATTTTCCTATCACTTCTAAAATCTGGAGTTTAAAACATACGGTTAAGATCCAGATGAGTGTTGATAGACTTGAACACTATCTAACAAAATGAAATTCAGTGTAGAGAAAAGTAAAGTCCTACACTTAGGCAAGAAAAACCAAAAGTACACATATAGACTGGGTGAACCAGGCTCAATAGCAATAACTGTGAGAGGGATCTTGGAGTCTTAGTGGACAATCAGCTAAATATGAGCCAGCAGTGTGCAGCGGTAGCCAAAAATGCCTAACTGTCCCCTTCCCATTCCCCAGTTCTAATATTCTAACTTCCAGAAATGGTCAGGCTGACTGGGGAATTCTGAGAATTGAACTCCCTATCTCTGTAGAGTATCCAGATTGTGGACAGGTCTGCATGGTGCAAATAAAGGTCAGCGGGAGGGGTGACCTTTGGTTACAGAATGTGGAAATTATTTGTTTTCTGGTTTCAATCCAGTGTACGTATTTTGTGAATTTATTGTCAGTGGAGAGCTTGCAATGCAGATCTCCCTCAAAATGGAAGAGCTAGCATTTGCCTTGTGGGCAAATATTTTCCAAATAGTTTAGAAAGATTTATTTTCTGCTTTATGATATGCTTCATCATTATACTGAAAACAATACTGAGTTCTGAACACAAATTTGTACTTTTCCCTTCTCTTTGACAGGGATCCAATATCTCTGGCATGTTGAATGGCTATCCTCTGTGGGAGAACGTCACCACACACAGTCCAGAGAATGGCTGGGCAGCTATTGGGACTCATTCTTTTGAACTGACACAATTTGATAATTTTCACGTTGAGGCCAGCTGAGGTTTCAATCATACATTGTCAATTCTGAGTGTGGCCAGTCAAACCTTAATTTAACAGTTAATTATGCTACTGGAGATTTTTGATTGTTTCCTACTAATATTAATATATGTTCAATGTTCTCCTGATTACAAATTGCTTCTTTTCCATGTTAAAATCAAATCTTTGTTAAAACATTTTTGTGCAAGCTATAAATGGGAATGTAATGCAGTCATATCTCTTTAACTGATAGAAATTAAGCTGTTACAATTAGGTAGAATTTCTACTTTCAATATTTCTGGGTGGTCTGAAGTCCATTTGTGTGCGTGTAAAATTCACCTTGCAATCAGATGGGATGCCTCATATCTGTTATGAAACATGGAATGATGGAATAAGGATTCCAGTGGATTTATATATCTTCTATTAGGACATGAGATTTTACTCCTGGTTTTCTAATGTCTTAATACACTTATCTAATTATAATGAAGAAAAAAAATAGTCAGCTTATGACTGGCTGGCTTATTTGTGAAGTGCTTTCTTTTAAACTACCTCTTAGGTTGGTAACCCAATAACCCAGATAGCTTTATAGTTTTCTTTTTTTGTGTTTGACTAGATACATTGAAGGGGAAAAATGTGTAGAGGTGGTCCTTAGTGAAGTTCAAAATTATGATGGACTTCTCTGGAGCTACTTACGACTTGTTCTTGCAGTTCTGATGGCTGCATCACCTCCAAAATGTGTCACATTATCATATTTTGGGGTCTTGACAACTGCCTTGGATTTATGGCTATTTTCAGCATTTGGTGGTCATGTGGCAGTGATTTTTAGTATTTTTTCTGGTTTCTGGCTTTTACTTCTGGTTTCTGGCAAAAAAATATCCATTGGTGAAAGCAGATTTGCTTAATCGTGGCATTTATTTAACAACTGCCACAAAGAAGGACATAAAATTGGGCACTGTCACATGGTGATCCGATTAACAACTGACACGACTTACCACCATAATTCCAGGCTCATTTATGTTGTAAGTCGAGGACTACCTGTAGGTGATGAACATTCAGGAGGTCTTATTTTACCTCATGTCTGCAGGCCAGTATATATACGAAGGTACTACTGCACAAGGACATTACAAGCAGTAAAATTGTGAAATTTATAACCTAAAGAGCTGAACAAGCATCAGTGTCTGTGGATGATGTACATATCAAGGCCCTAGCTTTCATGAATAAGAAGGCATGCATAAAAATAATATTTCACATATATTAGCTTACAAATGCCAGTGTTCCTTTATGCTTTTTGGTGAAATGTAATATTGAAGGGTAAAATAATTTGCTTATTTATTGATCTTTTATTAGTTAACTAGTTTCTATTTATTTTATTACTTACTATTTTGAAGTGTACAGGATAAGTGGCAAATACAAAATAGTGGAGAATAAAATTAATACAAACTGGCAGTTTATAGGGCAGAGCAAATAGTTCTCTCTGAATATATAATTGCAAAGGTATATTGAATAATTATAGTTGGGGAAAAATATTAACACAGAATTGTAAAACTGCTCAACAGAAGTATGTAAGATTCTGAACAACGTCGATCAGTTCATGTTTATATTTTGACAAATGAAGCCGAGAGATGAATAATCTATATAAGACAAGTTATGCCAGAATGGATTGTAGTTGTAGATTTGTTTTTTGTTTTTTGCTTGTTACTATTGATAATCAGAAACCTTTGCAGTGCTGTTGCAAATTATATGGATTGTACACCTGAATCTTGTTTTATGTTTTCTCATCTTTTATCTACCATTGAAGAAATCCTAATATGTTCCTGTTTCTGCTAGTGTTATGGATTGCTGGCTTTACAAAAAATAGTTCAATTTTGTGTCTCTTTTTATTTTATTCTAGGCAATGTCATGATATTCAGTAAAAACTAACTGGATATGCTACTTTGAAAATTGATTCTGATAAAATTGTGTTTGTACTCTAGATAGCATTACAAAATATATTTGTTAAGTGACACACAATATCTGTCTCTTCTAGTTCAAAGAGACTTCTGAGAGAAGATATTACAGTTGATAATATATTGGTTTACAGGACAGAATTATGACTGTTTGTCTGTTCCAGACATGATTAAACCACAAACCCTCAATTAAAAATATTTTTTCTATCTTATTCAGACCAAAACAATTGTTTCCTAGCCAGGATATTGAATTAAATTTCAAACTTTAACAGTTTGTAAGTTGTTAATTACCAATTAGGCAAAGGCAAAAGTATGGTTATTGAAAGTTCCTGGTATGAGTGAAATGCTTGTTTATGGCTTAGCTTAAGACAAAAGATGATCAGATTGGCCAATGGTAAATATACTTACGTGTAGTTAATAAACTTATAATAATATATATGCTTGTCCTGTTTATTAGTTGGATATTGATTGGTATCAAAGTTAAACACATATCTTTAAAAGGAAAAGTTTCTTTTGAATTAGAGATAAAAATAGTAACTTTCATCATTAAAGACTAATGGCTTAGCAACTAAATAAATTTTGAAACTGGAGGTTGAAATGATGTTTATGTTCTTTCCCTTTGTAGTGGAATATAAAGGATGGACTACACAGGATTTATTTTTTGTTTGTTGCCATTTATTTTTCCAAATAGACTTCAAAGTTGCAGATGAAGTAACTCATCATCAAAGCAGACAGAGTCAAAATGTTTGGCTTTTTTGTTTTGTACTGCATGATAAAACAAAGAACAAAATGGGTTTCTTAAATTTTTGTTCCTTACTACCCCCCCCCCCCAAAAAAAATACAATCAGCCTGAGGATGGATTTAAGATTGAAATGAGTGCCTTAAAGTGATTAAGTTACTGACTAATATAAGGCTGCAAATTTAAGATCTCCATTTTGCTTTCTGAGGAGTGCAGAAAAATTATTAAGGACACATGACATCCTTTGTAAATAGTTATCTCCCCCAACCACTTCATTCTGGGAACTTATGCATTCCAACCAGTCTGAACACTAGTTGGAAAAGACTAATTCAGGGATAAACATGCCTACCTGCCTTTATTAGAAAAGCTTTAATATTTTTGCACTACATTAATGGTTCTGGTTTTGCATTGTGCACTAAAATTGTGTAAAACCAATTCTTGTTAATTTATGGAATTACAGATGCTTGTCATAAAATGGGCTTGTTTAATTAAGAAACTGCTTTGATGTTTGAACAATAGTCTGATGTATGTAGTTGATTATTGCAGTTCCTAATGTTTCAAACAAAGAATAAATGTCATTTAAATATTTGATTTGGTTTTTGTGTGTGTGTGTGTGTTCAAGTCTCAATTCTCAGTCATGAAAGTTGTCTGGGTTTGTCATATTCTCTGAGCTTAACCTATAGAGTTCTTGTTGAGAAAAATTTGAGGAGAGAATGCTGTATATGCCTTCTTGAAGTCCTGAAAGAAAGCTGGGATATACTGTGACACTAGTCAAAATAACTTCAGATTAAATTTTCAGAGGTCACCATACTACTTAGTGAAGAACATGGTTCAGAAGTAAAACTGGGAAATAAATTTAAATGGTAGAAAATCTATTTTATAAGCAGAAGGTTCAAAGATAAATCTCTGGTAGATGAAATAAATATAGTCTGAAACTTATGTCTGTCAATAGCTGGGTTATACATGATTTGTTTGATTTGGTTTAATAGGATGTATGAACAATCAACTGTGGTTGAAGAAGGGCTTAGTGCTACACTAGAGTATTGACAATATTGGGGCAATATTTTAAAGTAATATTGGACTACTATTTTAAACTAAATATTTCCTCTGTAATCTTCTGTAACCTGAAGAAATACAGAGAAGAGGAGGAATTGGGAACACAAGGCAAAGAAGAGGAGGTGGATGTGTCAATCATTAGCAAAATGCTTTGGTTGCAGGGAAGAGATTTAATCAAGATATTTAAAAGTAATTGCAACAGCCCTTGGGGTTGATTCTTCCATGGTCCCAAATCCAGGTTTTCTTATTCCTGTGGTAGATAGTCCTGGAAGATCTTGGTCAGCCTGAGTGAGGATTCCATGACGGGTATAGGGAGTAGGCTTGGACTTCAACAAATCAGCGTCAGACAAACTGAATGAAGAGGCAAAGCCCAACAGCTTCACTGCTTCAGCAACAATGCTGAGAAGTTACAGCAAGCCAGCAGCTGGTAACCCATCTTCCTGTTTTTTAGCTCAGCACAGACTGAGAAACTGCCATGCTACTGCAGAACAGCACGTGACAGCAACTAGCCAATCAGAAGGTAGTTAAATGGTGGCTAAAGGCTTTGGTGAAAGCCCAAGCAACAAAAAATAGACTATTTAGGAAATAAGAAACATACATATACTATACTATACTGACATAGATGTTAGTCTGGCTGTAGTGTAAGTTAACATAGGCTTAGGACTAAATGGTGAAGTAGAAAATAAGTTTGTTAATTTTTAAAAAACTAAAAGCCTCCCTGGGGAAACAAAGTGAAAATAAAAACAGCCTGTTTGTTGCTGGTTTGTACCATCTCACAGAGTCTCCTCACTGGGGAAGATTTAAGTGTGGTATGCATGCAGCCACCCAACTCAAATATGTGATTCTGGGTAAAAAAGATAGAAAAACAGTAAGTTGCATAAAATAATGCAATGCATTAAAACATACTAAATAATAAAATGGTGAACAGGTGATTTTAAAGGTTAGAATTATGGCTCTGACTTAGAATAGTAGTCAAGCATTGACTTTTCTACCTGCAAGCCTCACTAATTGTGGCCATATACTTGTTCTGAATGATAGCCTGTCACAGCCTGTCACAAAAATATCAAGCAAGCATTTCCCCACCCCACCCCCCCGGTCTGGACTCTTAATGTCTAGCTCAAAGCCATTTTAAAATTGCATTACTTAGAAAGTTTTATAAACTTGGGAAATACATGTACCTAGCATGTATGCAACTTTCTCTGTTTGCTTCATAATAGAACTATTTCTATCTAGAATTTTAAAAAGAGCCTGAAATTATTCTAGCAAACATTTTTTCATCAATCAAACGAGCAGTTGGTTATCTGACAGGCATGCCTTTGATCTTATTTTCCATCTTCAGGTTCACCACAAATTTTCTGTCTTGAGTAAAAAAAAACCTCAGTAGTTCCTCCTCATGATCTTTTGAGTAGTGCTCAAACAATTCTTTTTGGCAAACTTTTTGGCATTTGTCCACAAGAAAATCCAACTCGTTTATCTTTACTAGGTTTTGCAAAAAAACCTTTAGTCAACCTTCAATATCCAACAAACTCGATTTTAGCTGCCAGCCATCATCTCCATTTCCAAACTTCTTCCTAGAGACACCCCTGATGCTATTTCACTCCACATCTAATGCCAGTGCAGATCTGGTACTGATGCCAGCATACTTGCATCTCTGATTTTTCCTGTGTCAACTTTCATATGAGAATCTAAAGTGGGACTCTCAGTTCCTTAGCAGCAAAGTGAGAACAAACGGTTTTGTTTGAATAGTTGCATTAATATATGAAGAACTGGTAAGACCCTATAGTAGAGAACAGGCTCATCCCATATAGTATTCCCGCATTTCCACATTACAGCTTTCTGTAGGGGGGAAAATGATGTTGAACTCTATTGTTTATTTGATAATTTTTCTGTATTTGTCTTATTTCCCAAGATGAAATAAGAGAGCACCAGACGTGGTGGCTTAATTTCGGCAATTTAGCTCTACAACACCTAGATAATGGCAGTCATTGCTGGAATTTGTCTTCCTTGTCTTTTATTTTTATCTTGGTATTTTGTTTTTGTTTTTGTCTTGATTAGAACTGTGCCTGTATTATTTGTTTGCATTAGAATCTAGTGGTGCTGAATTTATTAAAAAAAAATGTAGACATCCATTTTTGACTGAGAACCAACGTGTTTCAAATTTCGCCAGTTAGTATTATTTGTAACTTGCAAGATGCCCAGATGGAGGAAAGGAATGAACTGTCTTTAAGGGGTTTACATTGTGTTTTCAAATTGTGGAATTATGCAATGCTGATTCCACCCATGCTGCAGTGCCTAGCTGATGTATGATTTTCTCTCTCTGCCAACATGCTGAAAGTGGAGAGAGAGAGAGGGAGGGAGGGAGGGAGAGAGAGAAAGAGAGAGAGAAAGAGAGAGAGAAGACATATTTTCATAACTAGTGTACCTGAAAATTTGACCAAAAAGCGTTTGGAAGAGAGTCACAGAGAATGAGAACTGGTGATGCAGACATCTGATTTTATGAGGGCATTGTTTTCTGCTGACACAAGGAAGGGTGGATCGTGTTATAAATCAATTGTGAGGAAATAGCTTGAGTTACTTCTTCCATAGCCAAGCCACTATTTGATCTTTGCTTTTATTATCAGAATATTGACCCCAACGAATGAGATTTTCTATACCTCTTGGCCTCATTGGGCTGGATATGAAGGGGAGAAGTTTTTCTTTTTGTACTTTAAACGCTTTTCAAAAACTTAAATTATAAGGAAATAGCTATGGTGCACATTTTCTATTGTCCCAATATTTCTTCTAAATATACAAGGAAATGCAGTCAGAAGATCTGTGAATTGGCCTGAATGACCTGAGCTTAGATATTCCCCACCAAGAAAATTATTCCCCTTCTTTCCAACCCCATCTTTTATAAGTCAACTTAAAAAATAGGAATTAATCCTATTAATTAATCATATCAATTCATTCTCATATATATTATTTTGAGCTTCTTAAAATGGCAAGGTGCAAATATAAGTTATAACCAATATTGGTGTCTGCAGCTACAACTTCTATAAATATTGAACTCAACATTGAAAGTTTTCTTAAGGAAAGAAGTATAGTGTTGATGCTTTAATTTTTTCAAAAAGTTATAAGTGAATATTATCAGAATAACATGATGGTTCAGTGATGCTGGAAGTGGATTTCATTCCATATTCTGAACTGTTAAAAGCAAAATTATATTGCAATGTTTTGGCTTGCCAGAAATAAGAAGGGCAGGTAAGAATAAGTCACAGAATAAATTTCTAATGTTCTGCTTCAAATAGATATTCATGGAGAACTGGATTTTCCCCCTCACTCTACATTACATTAGATGATTGCGCATAACTGCCTACTGTCAAATAAAACAAATTCCTTTTCATTCCTATGAATCTTACTTTTGGTTGATATGCACTGAAGCAATAGAATTGGTGAAGAGCGTGGATGGTGAGAAGTAAAACTAGTCATGCTGCTATCATTATTCATTATGTTCTACTCTTTAGCCATCTTTTAAGGCTTCAAATGCATGTTCAATCAACACCAGTAGGAAGAATCATATCTACAGTACACTTGTTATCTCTTCTCCCAGATTTTATTAAAGAACTGCTAAGATTATCTAGTCCAATCCTCCAGCTGTGCAGGAAAGCCATGTCAACATTCAAAAGAGGTAGCTGTCTAATTTCTTGTTAAAGACCTTCAGAGATGGAGAACCTATATTAGAAGAGGGTAATGATAAACATCTTTGATACAGTTGCCATGAAAACTACGTGGATGTACGAAACAGTCTGCTGAAAACAGTATGTCTACAGATGTTCTAAATACCGAGGGAATGGAAGTGAAATGCTGCTCCTAAGGGTATGTCACAGAGGAAGGCTTCCCTCTAAGTGCCAGAAGACAGGCTACGGGGGCAACTTTAAAAGGACCTCTATTGCAGGTCTTGATGGGCAAGCAGGTTCATAATGAGACAGATGAACAAAAGCATTTAGAACCTTTGAAGGTCAATGTCAAAAACCTTAATTTGTGCCTGATAATACAATTGGCAAGCAGTG